CTCAGAACTGACAGGATCTATCTGAATGGAAGTCGGACAGCCAAGAAGCTGAAGTAGACCCGTACATCCAGACTGGTAGGGGACGACGAGCCGGGCGGGCGCGGGGCTGGCGCGGGTCGGCGGCGCGCGGAGGGCGGGGAAAATTTGGCACGAAACCAGCGGGACAGCCATCCGGGGTGCAAGAACGCAGCGGTGATCCCTGAGTGCGCAAGCTGCGGCTGGCGGACCCTGTGGGGCAGCGATTGTGGGCCAGGGCAGAGCTCGCGGCCCAGGATCCCGGAGAGGTGTCTGAGCCCAGGAGAACGGAACTACCGCCATTGTCCCCTCCCGCTCCCGCCCACACATACAACGTCACAATCTAGCGACCAGGGTGCCCAGCCCCGGTGGACACCTAAGGCTCCGCCCCCCACCGTAACAGGAGCGACCAGAGACAGGGAAAGACATAAGACATGTATCCAACAGAACAGATCAGTCCCCCAGGACTCATCCTTTTGAGCGACCAAGAAATAGCCAATCTATCAGATGCGCAGTTCAAAACACTGGTGATCAGAAAGCTCACGGAATTGGTTGATTTTGGGCGCAATTTAGCTGAAAGGATGCAGGTTACCATAAAAGAGATGCAGGAAGATACGCGGAGGAGAGCCAATAGTGAAAGGAAGGAATCTGAGTCTCAAAACAATACAGTGGACCAGAAGGAAGATAGAATCAACCAAGCAGGAAAGCATGATGAAATAATTCAAAAAATCGAGGAAAAGCTTAAGAGCATCCAGGACACCTTTAAACGTTCCAACATCCGAATTATAGGGGTACCAGAACAGGAAGGAGAAAAGCAGCAGATGGAGCACGTATTTGAACAAATAATAAAGGAGAACTTCCCCATTCTGGCAAAGGGAACAGTCTTCCAAGAAATCCAAGAAGCTCAGAGAGCCCCAAAGAAGTTGGACCCAAGAAGAAACACACCAAGGCACATCATAATTACATTAGCCAAGGTAAAAACGAAGGAGAGAATCCTAGAAGCAGCAAGAGATAAGGGGACAGTAACCTACAAAGGAGTTCCCATCAGACTGTCAGCTGATTTCTCCAAAGAGACCTTACAGGCAAGAAGGGGCTGGAAAGAAATATTCCAAGTCATGAAAGACAAGGACCTACATCCCAGATTGCTCTATCCAGCAAAGCTCTCATTTAGAATGGAAGGGCAGATACAGTGCTTTTCAGATAAGGTCAAGTTAAAGGAGTTCATCATCACCAAGCCCTTATTTTATGAAATGCTAAAGGAACTTATCTAAGAAAAGAAGATAAAGAAAAGACATGTATAGTAAAAGGACAGCAAACTCACAATTATTAACAACCACACCTAAAGCAAAACCAAAAGAAACTAAGTAAACAACTAGAACAGGAACAGAACCACAGAAATGGAGGGCTAGCAGCAGGGGGGTGGGAGGAGGAGAGAGGGGAAAAAGGTATAGAGAATAAGTAGCGTAGAATGCAGGTTGAAAATAGATAGGGGGAGGGCAAGAATAGTACGGGAAATATAGAAGCTAAAGAACTCATAAGAATGACACATGGACATGAACTAAAGGGGGGGACGTGGGTGGGAGAGGGGGTACGGGGGGGAGAGAAGGGGGAAATGGGACAACTGTAATAGTATAATCAATAAAATACATTTAAAAAATAAAAAATAAATACCATCAAAAAAATTTAAAAAAAAATTAAAACACCCTAGGAGTGCTAGCTGCTTCCCACAGCACTCCCATTTTCATCCCCCCCACCTTCCCTGTCCCAGTTTACAAGTCTGTTCCTAATTAACAATCCTTTACACACGCGAATGCTTTCTCCAGATACCACTCGTAGCCCCAAGCTAGCCCTTGGGGGCCGCCACTCCTCAAATCCGCTCCTGAGTGACTGTCCTGCACCTGTGGCCACATGGCCAGGCTCCTGAGTGACTGTGCTGCACCTGTGGCCACATGGCCAGGCGCTCCTCCCCAAACCTTCCTCTCAGCTGACGACTTCCACGCCCCTTTCTTCGAGGACACTGAAGGAATCCAAAGAGAGTTTACAGGCAACCCTGCCCCCGGTCTCACCACCCAGCAACATCTACACCCCAGACTTTGCCTTCCCTCCTGTTACTGTGGAAGAAGTGTCCTTGTCCCCATCTGAGGCATCTACCTGCACACGTGCGCCTCCTGAAGACCGTCACTCCCACAGCCCTGCCCCCTTCCAGAAAACCATCAGCATATCTTTTCTTCGGGACCGTTCTTGACCATCTCCCTTGTTAAAAAAGAAAAAGCAGCCCTAGCTGGCGTAGCTCAGTGGATAGAGCACGGACTGCAAACCAAAGTGCTGCAGGTTCAATTCCCAGCCAGGGTACATGCCTGGGTTGCAGGCCATAACCACCAGCAACCGCACATTGGTGTTTCTCTCTCTCTATCCCCCTCCCCTCCCTCTCTAAAATTAAATAAATAAAATCTTAAAAAAAAAAAACAAGAAAAAGCAACCCCTTGACCCCCACCATTTCCCTCCAACGATTAATCCTTTTCTCTGCATCCCTGCTCCCGACAGCGGCGAGGTTCCTCAGTGGAAGCGCCGACTCCAGGTGCGATAGTTTTAGGCGGGGCCTTTGGGATGAGGTCATAAGGGTGGGCCCCATGGTGGGATTGGTGTCCTTCTAAAACAGACACCGGATCTGCCTCCCACGTGAGGGCGGAGCCAGAGGTTCCTACCCTGGAGCCAAAGCCGCAGACCGCACGCTGGTCTCCGACCACCCGGGCTCCAGACTGTGAGAAGAACGTGTCTGTGGTTGAAGTCTCCCAGCCTGGCAATTTTGCTGCGGCAGCCTGAATGAAGACACTGTCTTTACAATCTTCTTCCCGTGTGTGCTGTCTGCAATCTCCTCCCGTGTTCTGTGTCACCTACTCTGGTCAGGCTTTTTGCCCAGCAGCCACCCGGACAGCTCGGTCAAGGTCCCTGGTGACACCTGCCTGCTGAGCGCCAAGCCAGCTCAGGTCATAGTCCCCCTCTTCCTGCTTCTCTTGGAATCTGGCACCACAGGCCCCTCCCTCCTCCTTCCCAAACCAGAAGGGCCGCAGGGCCAGGACCCCTGACTCACAATCATCTCTTGTCTCGACAGAGTGTCGGGGGACACACCTTCACCCCCACAGCCCGCACCCTCAGCCTCAGCCCCACCCCCACTCCGAGTCCCTTTACCTCCATCCACAATGGTCTTCTTCTCTTTCCTGTAAATTAATTCCAGCTCCTGGGACCTTGTACTTGCTGTGCCCTCTGCTTTGAACTCTTCCTGGCGTTTCTTGTGTCTGCTTTCTCGAGATTCACCCTGCAGGCCCCAGGCTCAGTGCCCCTGTCTGCCTGTGGGCGTCCAGCGGGCTGCCCCTCAGTTCAGTTCCCCGCTCCCAGCCGCTGGCCATCACAACATCCTGATTATTTTCTTCGGGGCGTGTAACACCATCTGCCATTACAGGACTCGTTAATTTTGTCGCTCGTTAACCTCGGCCGGTGTGTTCCTTTCTTTGTGTGTGGCCTGTGAGTGACAGACGCTCAGCAAACACTGTCCTAATAGAGGAAGACAGGAATGGACGGCTGAGCCCAGGCTAAGTGCCAGGAGCAAACACCCACCTCCTGCTGCCCCCTAGAGGGAAACTGAGGCATCATTCATTTCTAAAGCACCGGCCTGGTTTTGTTTACCGGCTCTACCACTCACCAGGGCGTCATTTCCTACTCCCAACCAAGGTGGTTGCGGGGCTAAGGAGTACGAGAACTCTGAATAGTGCTCTGGCCCGGACCCATTCGCCACTGTTATTACCGTGACCGTGACTGGGAGCACAAACGGAACCAGGGCTGGGGAGGGCCCGAAAAGGGCAGGCAGTGTCTGCCTCGACTTCACTTCCTTTCTCCCCAGCAAACTCCTACACATCCTTCAAAACCCAGCTCGAATTTTTATCTCCCAGGTATTTCTAACCGATGAGTAAGTCTTTGTTTTTAATTTAATTTATTAAATTAAAAGAGAGATTGAAGTATGAATGTGTGGTTGCCTCTCATGCTCCCCCTACTGGGGACCTGGCCTGCAACCCAGGCACGTGCCCTGACTGGGAATGGAACCGGAGACCCTTCCGTTTGCAGCCCACGCTCCATCTACTGAGCTACACCAGCCTGAGCTGATGAGTAAGACTTTACTGAGCACCTCCTGTGGGTCAGGCTCTGCGCTTGGCGCTGATTTCAGGAAGGGCAAAACAGGATGGGGTGGGGGGCTGTTTTCCCAGAGCTCCGTGCGAAGCGAAGGCGGACGATGACCCGCGAATGCAGGGCGCTCCGTGGAAAATCACACTGGGACGCACAAGCGCTTGCCCGGCCTAGAAAGGCAGAGGGGGCCCTTTCTCCGGAGCTCACCTGATGAGGGGCTGCGGCCTAGTTACTTGGAAGCCTAGTTCACGCGCATTGCGTCTCATGAAACGCTCTGAGAGGTCAATGGCTCGGCTGAGCGCCCCAAATCAGCCAAAGGGAGGTCGGAGACCCCGGCCTTCTCGCGCCCTCTCGCCAGTACTGGGATGTCCCTGGAGGGGCATCCGCCGCTCTGTCGCCCGGATTGGCCGTGGAGGAAATGGGGCCGCGCGGACCCACTTCCGTCCGGACTCAAGCCCCGTGGGTACGGCCCCCGCATTCCTGCCACTACTCGGTCTTCCCGAGCGGAGCTGGGTCCTCCCCCTGCGAGCCTCGGACCCCCGCGTGGCGCCGTCCTTTGCAGCCGCAGCCTCCCTGCCTCTCCTCCTCCCGAGCTGCGGACGGAGTGGCCGGGGCCCGACCCAGCGGACAGAGCCTGAGGCAGGTGGTCGGGGCACCGCAGCGGAGCAACGGTGCGGTCCAGCGCGGAAGGGGTGTCGCCTGCCGGCCACTCTGAGGACACCAGGAGGGGAAATTCCTGGGGTGGGAGTGAGAGTTGGTGGGAGAGGTGGAGGCAGGCGGAGGCTGGCTGTTGGGTAGGAGGCATTGCCGGCTGCAGCGGCCTGACCTTCCAGGGCCCGAGGGGGCGGGGTGCCCGGCCGGCCCCTCCGCCCGCCTGCCTGCCCATTCTCCCTGCGCCCTGCGCTCCAAACCCAGCCGCGGGCCCTGGCAGCCCGCTCAGCCCCATGACCACCGGACACCCGGCCGCCGTCCTGGGCAGACCCCGCCGATGTCGGGAGCGATCTTCCCGCCCCCGGAGGGCCCAGGCGCTCTGGACGCTGCGAGCGGCCACCCGCTCGTGTGCCCGCTGTGCCACGCGCAGTACGAGCGCCCGTGCCTGCTCGACTGCTTCCACCACGTCTGCGCCGGCTGCCTGCGCGGCCGCGCCGCCGACGGCCGTCTCGCCTGCCCGCTGTGCCAGTGAGTGCGTCCCGGCCCCAACGGAGCCCTCCGCGGGAAGGGAGGCCGGCCCTGCCGGGGCGAGGACCTCGGTGCCGGGAGCAAGGCGCTGAATCCCGTCAGAAACGGGGGAGGGGAAAGGCCGCACCTGCCTGCGGGAGGATGCACCTGGCTGCCGCTGCGCATTTTGCTGGTCAGATTAACTGAGGCCTGGGCCTCCCACAGAAGGTCAGGGGTCAAGGGCGGGGCTAGGGCGCCCATCCTGTGGGGACTTACTGCTGCTACTGGAGTAGCCCATTCTCAACACTGCGTCAGTCAGGGCTCCCAGTACCTCTCTCTGGGGCCCCTGAAATCCTTGGTCAGTCTAAGCCCGTGATACCGGCTCAAGTGACACGGGCATGGCCGTAGTCACCTTCCCTGATGCAATGAGTGGGGGCTGGGGACAGGCTTCTGCTTTGCCACCCCAGGTCGACACCCCCCTGCCTCCCAGGACTTGCCCGGGACTGGGTCAGAGCTAGCAGTGGCTGAGATATTTATAGCAGATGAGGGCCTGCTGGGTACCCCACCTCCCACCCTATTTTTAGCTCCAGCCTGGAAGGTGGGGGTGGAAACTGGTGGGGAGCCAAGGGGAGGGGGCCTCTGGACCCTGGCTGCAGCTTCTCCACAGACACCAGACGGTGGTGAAGGGCCCCGGCGGGATCCCTCCTGTGGACCGGCTGCTGCAGTTCCTCGTGGACAGCTCGGGGGACAGCCTGGAGGTGGTGCGCTGTGCCAACTGTGACCTGGAGTGCAGCAAGCAGGCAGGGGCACCCCAGGGCGGGGGGAGGCGAGGGCGCCAGGTCCCAGGGTCCTCAGGGGATGACCTACTGGGGTTCCTGCAGCACCTCCCCAAGTCACCCTGGATCCCAAACGTGGGTCCCATTTTACAGGCGGGGCACTACAGTTCGGGACAAGTGCCTCGCGCGAAGAGCCAGACAGTGGCAGAGGTGAAGGCCATTCCATCTGGGGACATCTCATATTGGTCCCCAACTCAGAGGGGAGCCGAGAAGTGGCACCGAGAGGGAGGGGCCAGGCCCAGGGCTGGGTCCGCCCCTGCGGCCGGCTGCCACCGGGGTGGCTGTGGGCAGCCCTAAGGGACGCAGGGTCAGCGTGCTGTTTGGGGGGGAGGTGACACCACCCCTGAGCCCAGGGGGGAAAATACAACAAACCAAGGAGCTGAGGGCAGGTTGTGAGGGGCACGTGGGACTCTGGCCCTCCGAACCTGGACAGGTATCTCCAGTTCCGGGAGGATGGCCCTGCAGGAGCGGGGGGGGGGGGGGGGGGGGGGGGCGTTGGCGCGGCAGGGAGGGTACAGGGCAAGCGCTAGGACTTGTACGACACCGAGGTGACCAGCTGGAGGAAAGGAGAGCAGGGGAGGAAGTGGCCTTGAATGCCAACGTAAGAGCGCATGCTCTCATAGCCGCTGTTTCAGTCAGGGCCGTGGCCTGGACTTGCCCGGGTCTGGCCTGCACACGGGCACTGCAAGCCCCCGCCCCTCTCCTCTCCCAGCCAGATCTGGCGTCTACTCGGCCAGGGTGGGCGCCGTCATGTAGCTACTAGTGGGGGTCGCGGGCGGGGGCTTGAGAGGTCTCCACACACACCCATTTTTGTTGTGGGTGCCGTGTTCCGCAAATGCAGTTCTGCCCGGCCCCCACCCCGCGTAGGGCCTGGCCAAGCCCATTCAGGGCACCGCCCACACAGGACCTCTTACCTACTCTGTGAGCCTGGGGGTTCTCGCCTGTACGCTGGGTCTATTAGAGAGTCGGGGTTACACACGAGGGCTGCGCTGAGCCACTTTCCTGCCCCAGGCTGGTCCTGGCACGCTCAGTGATAGGCGGAGATGGCCGGTCCCGCAGGGGCGGTGGTCGGGCCCAGGCTCCCGGCCGGTGGGCGGGCTGAGCCTGCGCTGGGCCCACAGGACTCCGAGACCACGTACTTCTGCAACACGTGTGGGCAGCCGCTGTGTGCGCGCTGCCGCGAAGAGACGCACCGGGCTCGCATGTTTGCGCGCCACGATATCGTGGCCCTAGGCCAGCGCAGCCGCGACGTGCTCCAGAAGTGCCGTGAGTGCGGCAAGTCGGGCGGGCGGGGCGGGGCGGGACGAGGCGAGGGGCAGGGCGGGGGGTAAGGGGGCGGGGCGAGGACTGCCCCGCCCTCACCGCTGCCCCTCCACAGCGCTGCACGCGGAGCCCTACATCATGTTCTCCACCGACAAGAAGTCGCTGCTGTGCATCCGCTGCTTCCGGGACATGCAGGGGTGGGTCCAGGGAGCTGGAGGCCAGGGGGCTGCGGGGAGCAGGGCGCTGAGCCGGACTCACCCACGGGGTACCCACAGGGAGAGCCGAGCCCACTGTGTGGACCTCGAGTCGGCCTACGTGCAGGGCTGCGAGCGGCTGGAGCAGGCGGTGCTGGTGAGCACGGGGTGCCCTGCCGGCTGGCCGGCGCAGGGTTGGGGGCACGTGCGCCACCCAGAAGGCTGAAGCCACCTTGTCCCCAGGGCGTGAAGGCCCTGCAGACAGCCACGCGGGAGGCCATCGTGCTGCTGCAGACAATGGTGGAGGAGGTGCGGTGCAGCGCGGCGGAGGAGGAAGCCGCCATCCACTCCCTGTTCGGCAGCATGCAGGTGAGGGGTGGGCAGGACAGGACAGCCACGGGCTGAGCATCCTCATCAGCCACGGCCATGACCACGGCATAGGACACGCCCCCCAGAGCCCTCACAGAGTTCCCGGTGTAGCACGAAGGCAGCCATTGAGCTGCACGTCCCAGGAGTTCATCTCAGTCTTCAGAAGAGTCCCTGCAGGGAATCCAGGGCCCACCCCAGCCCAGGTGCTGGGTCCGGGGGTGGCTGGGGAACGCCTCCCCCAGGAGGTGACACTCTCCGGCAGTGGGATGCAGGAAGGAGGGCCTCTGGCTCAGGCGGCCCCGAGACAGGCTGCAGAGCAGAGCGAGCCAGCACGCCAGGTGTGGCCGGGGCCCAGGGGAGCAGGAGGGTGCTGGGAGGTGGCCCAGCTGGGCAGGCCCAGCCTGTAGCAGCCTGTCCCTCCCAGGACAAACTGGCCGACAGGAAAGCGCTGCTGCTGCAGGCCGTGCAGAGGTGAGTGGGAGGGCTCTGCTGCCCCGGGGAGCAGAGCGTCCAGGCGTCCACCTCAGGAGGGCAGGGCGGTTCGGGGCACAGGGAGGGTGGCAGGGAAGGGTGCACAGAGGATGGACCGCCGGGCCTCGAGGCCCCTGGGGAGGTGGGCAGCCCTCCCCTGGAAATGAGGCTGCCCGCCCCTCCCCCAGCCAGTATGAGGAGAAGGACAAGGCCTTCAAGGAGCAGCTCTCCCACCTGGCCGCCCTGCTGCCCATCCTGCAGGTGAGGGGGGGGCGGGCTGCCCGGGGCCGGGCTCCCCTGCCCAGAGGCCCCCTCCCAGGCCAGGCACTGAACACAGAGTGTCCCTCCTGCAGGTTCACCTGGTCATCTGCTCCTCCTTCCTCAGCCTGGCCAACAAGGCCCAGTTCCTGGACCTGGGCTACGTGAGTGCCCCAGCGCCTCTGGGGTCTCCCTGTCCCTGGCAGGAACCCACCCGGCGCCCTGGGGACTGCTGCTTCCGGGTCTGGCGGCCTGTCACCCCGGGGCTGGGCCAGGGGCCTCTGGGCCTGCCCTCCCCTCCTGCACACCGTCACCTACAAACGCTGTAGGGCCAGCTGTGTACCTCTGAAAGGACAGCAGAGCCGGGGAGGGAACAGGAGCCCGTGCTCCCCCAGAGCTCAGCACCTGCTGGGGCCCAGGCTCCCCTGTGGGCTTTGGGGCGGAGTGGCATGGGGGTTCCCAGCCAGCCCCAGGGAAGGGCTGCCGCCGCCTCCGACAAACACCAGGTGAATGCAAAGGACAGGCTTGCCCTGGGGCCTCCCCCTCACCCCCCGAAAACCCCCCGCCCTGCAGGAGCTGATCGAGAGGCTGCAGGGCATCGCCACACAGCCGCATCGCCTCCGGCCAGCACAGAGCAGCAAGGTGCAGGGAGGGGCGGGGTGCCTGCTGAGCTGGGGCCCCCGCGGGTCCCAAGGCTCAGCCCCGTCTTCCTCGCCCAGATCGTCAGCGACCACCGCGCCGAGTTCTCCCGCTGCCTGGAACCGCTGCTGCTGCCGCCGCCGCCGGGACCTCACCGGGCAGCAGGTGCTGGGGGCGGCACCCACATGTGAGCAACCAGGTCCCTGTCAGGGTGGGGTGCCTGAGAGGCCGGGACAGGTGGGGCACTGCCCTTCCCAGCTCACTGAACCCCAAGCCTGCGACACCAAGTGGGAGAGCGAGCGTGCTGTCTGGGAAGCAACCGTCTGGGCACCTCCATCAGCGAAGGACCACGGGGTGGGGACCCTGCTGGAATCTAGGAAGCCCCAGGCCTGGGAGGAGTTAGGAGAAAGGCCTGGGCCGGGGGCCCCAGGGCCCAGTGCATGGGAGGGCCCCTCGAGTTCCCTCTGGCCCAGCCCCGACAGCCTCCTTCCGGCCTCTCCTTCCGCACCATGACATTGCCCACAGGTTTCACAAACACCGCACCGATGCCCTTGGTCTTGGGTGCTGCCTCGCATCAGGCTCTTTCTGGGGCTCCCGTGGTGGTTCTGGGGTGTGGTCTGCCGTGAGAGGCCCTGGGAGGCTGGGGTTGGGGGGGCCCTCTGCACCCCCAGCCTCCTCTACATCCACACTGGCTCCCTCCCCAGGTTAGCAGGGGGCTCAGGCCCCAAGGGGCTGGGGGTGCCCGGCTGCCCTTCCCCGGTAGGGAAGGTGTTGGGGCCACCAGTCCAGAAGCCCACGCTGCACCGGTCCATCAGCACCAAAGTGCTGCTGGCAGAGGGGGAGGACACGCCCTTCATGGAGCACTGTCGCCACTTTGAGAACTCCTACCGGGTGAGCTGGGAAAGGCCCCACCCCTCCTCGCCCGGGCCGCAGTGGTCAGATCTGGCCCTGGCCACTCCCTTGAGGCCCCCGCAGGGACACAGCCGGCGGGGCCCACGCGCCCATGCGCTCACACGTGTGTCCTGCAGCGCCTGCAGGCCGACACGCAGAGCCTGAAGGACCAGGTCCAGGAGCTGCACCGGGACCTCACCAAGCACCACTCGCTCATCAAGGCCGAGATCATGGGCGACATCCTGCACAGGGCCCTGCAGGTGGACGCGCGGATCGACGCGCAGCACGCTTCCGTGGAGGGCATGAGGGCCGTCTTCCAGGAGGTAGCCTCGCCGAGGGCCCGCCTCCGGGCAGCCCCCCCGTCAGCACGCACTGGGCCGCCCGGGAGAGAGGGGTGCGAGGTGGGGGAGGGAGAGTCCGTTGGCTGGACTCCGGGAGGCCCAGTGTGGCGGCTCTGGAACCTGGGTCTTTGCTGCCTGGAACCACAGGAACAGCCTGGGGGTGCCTTTCAGCCCTGGGTGGCCGGGGGGGGGGGGGCGGTGGGCAGAATCTCCACCAGTGGAAATGCCGACTCACGTGACGTCCGACTCACCTTCCCTTTCAGCTGTGGGAGGAAGCCTACCAGCGGGTGGCCGACGAGCAGGAGATTTATGAAGGTCCCGGGCAGCCGCTGCCGGTGCACCCCGCCCTAGAGCTAACCCCTGTGCCGGTAGGGATAGGGGAGCAGGGACCCACTAACCAGACCTGAAAACCCCCCTGCACTCCCCCTTCGCCCCTGACCTGACCTCCCAGCTGCTAACAGGCCCCCAAACAATGCACGCGCCTGAGGTCGGAATCCAGTGAGCAGATGCCCTCACGTGTCTCCCCTCGCCCTTTAACCGGACGGAGCCGTGATGATGGTGTGAGGCTGGAGGCTAAGGCTCCAAAGCCAGCGAGACCCAGCTCTCTGGCCTTGGCCCCCGCAGCCCAGCTCCGTGACCTGGTCCAGCTGAAGCAGGAGAACGCCCGCCTGACCGCCATCACCAAGCACATCACGCCCTACGTCCGCTCCATCGCCAAGGTGAAGGAGCGGCTGGAGCCCAGGTGAGGTGGGGGGGGACCCCCGGGGGAGCCCAGGCACGTCGGCGTGTGTGGGAAAGCTGCCCACGTGGCGGGGAAGGGCCCCTTCCGGAAGTCAGCGGGCCGAGTCACGACGGGTCACTCAGGGCGCGTGGGAGACCAGGTGCTGGACATCTGCCAGGTGCGGAATGCGTGGGCTGCTCTGAGCTCCGGCTTCCGGGCACTCGGTCGCCCACCACTAGCCCTCGGCAGTAGGTCCAAGGGGCAGACGGGCTCACCCCCAGCTGCCTCGCCCCAGGGCACTCTGCTTGGGGGTCTCACGGGCACGTCACACCCGCCGCGGCCAGCAGAACCTCCCTCCCTCCCGCATCACGCTCCTCCAGGGTCCCCTCACTAAATGACATCAGTCTCCGGGAGCGCCAGGAAAAAGCCCGGGAAAATCCCGGGTTCCTTGCTTACGCTCACCCCCAGGCCGCCCCCCTGACCCCAAGTCCTGTTACGTACCTGTCTCCACCCCCCTGCTGGGCCTCCACGGCTGCCCCCACCCGAGCCCCTGTGGTCACACACGCCCCTGCCCTCCAGGCTGCCACACAGCCAGGGGTCTTCTTCGAGCCCACAGGGCCCACCGCACCAGGCCCGACAGCCCTTCCAGGGCCCTCCCCACCCAGTGCTGACTACGTCAGCTCGCACTGCGAGCCACTCGCAGTGGCCTTTCCGTCCCCTAAGAAACCAGACTGGCGCCCGCTCCCTAGCCTCTGCCTGGGAGGCTCCTGTCTCAGACTGTCCCCCGGGCCCCACTCACTCAGGTCTCAGCCTGAGGGTCGACAGCGAGGCCTCCTTCCCAACCCGCCCTGTCCCTGCACACGGGCCTCCCCACCAGCTGGCCCTGCTGCGCCCGCGCCCCGCCTGGGTGCGTGTCCGGACCACAGCGGCCTCCCACCCGCACCCAGGCCTGCCCTCGGGAAGCAGAGTCTCAGGGCCCAAGTCCAGGCCCGGTGGGGGGGCTCTCGAGAGTGTGCGTGAGTCCGTTGTTCGCGCGGACGGTGAGCTTCAGACCCGCGCTGGGCTGGCTCCACGGCCTCTCGGGCTCCAGGGTCGCCTCCTCCCACACAGGTTTCAGGCACCCGTGGACGAGGAATCCCAGCATCTACAGAATGTGCATGAGGACAGCACAGGCGAGGAGACCCAGGCCAGGTACAGCCGATCTCTCCACCCTGGGCGGGCAAGCGGTTCCGTCTCTGAGACCCGTGCGGACGACAGAGAAAGACCGAGGACTTTCTCTCCCCTCCCGTCCCCTCTGCACCCTCGGCAGGGCCTCTGTTTGTAAAACACGGGCTCAGAGGGGTTTGTGATGTGGAGGGAGACTTCAAACTGGGACTCACAGACGACAGAGGCGACTTGGACGGACAGGGCCCACATCCCCTAATGGTCAGTGCACCCCGGGGCTGCTGCATCCGACACCACTGAGCGCCGCCAGCACACGGTTCGGCTCCTGGGCGCCTACGCCACCGGCTGTGACTCACTCCGTGAGAAGAGTGGCTGAGGACGGTCGCTGGGGAGAGTAGCCCTGTCGAGGGAGCCACGGTGTTCGCCAAAATGCTTGCCAGAGAGAGGACAGAACATGCCACAGCGGCCATGTCACTGTCACAGCGGGGCTCGCGCTGCGGCAGCAGCAGCAGTGTGCTGCAGGGGCCCAGCGGCCGAGGGGCAGTGAGGTGGGGGGCGGGGCTGCTGCTGCGGGTGGTGACGAGGCGTGTGCTGCCCCCCCAGACACCCCACCAGCCCCAGGCACCACGTTGAGCAGCTCAGATGCCTCTGCCGAGGCAGCCTGAACGGCTGCGCTCTGGCAGCTGAGACTCCTCCGGAAGGCAAGGACAGTCCCTTGGAGGCCCTCCAGTTCTGGCTCCGAGGCCCTGGTCACCCGGGGCCTTGCGGAAAGGCCCGCCGCCGTTCCGGGAGCCTCGACCCTGGTGCTCAGCGTGGTGACCGGGGTGGGGTGGGGAGTGTCGCACACCGGAGCTCAGGGCCGAGTGTTTCTTTAGGGGAGACCCGGTGTGCGCCACAGACAAGAGGGAGCAGACCTCAGAGCCCAGAGGAAGCGGCCACTCCCTGGACGGCCCCCCAGGAGAGCCTGCACCGAAAAACAGAGATGCTCACGGACCCAAACCAAAAAACGGGGGTGACAGCCCCCCGAGGAGGGAGCACCCCACTTAGTGGACGGGGTGGGTCCCAGGGGCTTGGGCCCAGCCCGCTGAGAGGGGGCTCCCCTCGGGACGGCTTTGTCTGAGGGCAGAGGGTGACTGTCTCCTGGCGTCAAACCCAGAGATGCTCTGAAAGGCCCTCGTTTCAGATCCTTTCGCTTCGCTTTCCCTGAGTTCACCCAGCCTGGTGTCTGGTCCTCACCACGGTGACCGGTGACCAGTGACCAGGGAGGAGCGCCAGCCTACAGGGACAGCGAGTGAGGGAACAGCCGGCCTCACGCCACTCCCTGGTCCAGCCTCTCCCGGTGCCTGTGCGTGGGCCCATCCTGGGGTCACCACCTGCACGCCCATGAGGACGTGCAGCTCTGGACGTGGGTGACAGGACTCCGCCCTGAAAGGAATCCGGTTCCTCCTGCATCGCAGCCCCACTGTCAGCCGGGAGCCACTGGGAGGCTCCTCCCCGGGACCCGAGCGCTGACTCAGCGGAGGGGAGAAACCCACACCCGCTCCCCTCCCTGGCGGCCGGGCGGGGCTCCCAGGGCAGCGTGCAGGGCAGGAGGGGGTCCCTCCACAGCCCCTCCACTCCCTCTCCCACGGCCGTCTCACCCCGTGCCCGCCTCCTGTGGCTTACTGAAGCGGAGTTGGCGGCAGACTTTCTCTGGGCGTGTCCCACTCCTACCTGATGCCCTGTTCACAGGTAGAAATTGGTACTTTTCCAAAAGGAAAATTAACCTATGGGACCTAAAATTCAAAGTTTTGGAGGCAAAACGATGCCCAGAGAGACACCTGTAAGCAAACATCCATCTTGGTTCAGGGGTTCAAACGGCGAACGGCTTCCCCATGCCAGCTGGGCCCACACGTCACTATGTGACTGTCACAGGTGACCTTGTGACACCCCTGGACCTGCCATCTCAGGCCCCCGAGTCCCCGTGCCGAAGCACCGCACACTTACTTCCACGGGGGCCGACAGCGTGCGGGCCGCTGGCATCGCGAGCCTCGGAGAGGTAGGGATTCAGAACCGAATCGGGGGGGGGCGGGGGGGCAAGGCGCCCCTGGTTGAGGGTGCGGGTCCAGACGTCTCTCAGCCGGAAGCGGCAAGACCCGAGGGGGTCCACATCCCACAATCACACCGTGGTGGTGGTTCGTAGTGAAACCAAGTACAGCTTTATTTCAGGTTCGGAAAGGATTATCAGTACTTGTGAAACAAAACCCAATTGAAAACACGGGAATAAACATTTCTGCATGTAAAAAGAAGAGTAGAATAATTACTCCATTAGTTCCTCTCCTGGCTGTGGACGGCTTCCCAAGAGCGAGCGCTTCCCGTGGCTGGTCTGCCCGGCCCAGGCCCCCGCCCGGCTCAGATCCCTGCGCGACCCAACCTGGGTGGCAGGCTTGCACGACAGGGCACAGAGAGCAAGCCCCCCCCCCCCAACGCGGGCAGTGCCGGGTCCTCTGCAGAAGCAGCAACGGTGGGGGGCGGCAGCTGCCTAAGGCAGTGAGAAAGTGCAGAGAAGGGGCACTGGGTTACCCTGCCTGTTGGGGGGGGGGGGGGGCTGCCACCGGAAGGCGCTGCGGCTGACACCTGCGGAGCCAAACCTGTTAATTCGACGAGCCAGCTCAGGGGTACTTCCCCACCGTGTCATGGTCCAGAGGGCTCGATGGATGGGACGCTGGGGGTGGGGGTGGGCAGGGCGGGGGGCATCCAGTCTACTTTTAGGCTCCGGGGGCCGCGCACACCGAGGGCCTCTGGGGCCTGCCCCCCACCCTGTGCTGTAACTGCCATTCCCAGTCCAGCCTGCACCTCCCTGTAAAACGCATCCTTTCAGGAGGCTTCAAAGTAACTCTGTTCTGTGCACCGCCTGGGTTCCACTTGGGAATCTGCGCTTTAAAGCCTGCGATGGAAAAAGAAATCTCCTGACGGTGTTTCAATTTGCGGGAACTGGGGATGGGGCCTTTGCCCAGAGAGCTCTGGGGAACGCCCAGGAGCCTGCACCTCATTAACCTGATTCTCTGCTCAGCGCACGGCCACTGCTAAATTTACACGGTTAAAAATAAGCTGAGCCTCAGTGCCAGACGGAAGTCAATCACTTGCGAACCCTGTCCCTAAGTAGTTCGTTCATCTCTTATCCCCAAGGAACTGCTGACTCCCGCCCTGGGATCACTGCGGGGGTGTGAACGTTCTCAGGGCCCCGCCCCAGGCCTGCTCCCTGAAAGCCAAACAATGTCAAGCTGAGAAGGGGGCGGGGGCGCGGCGGGGGGCAGCACCCACACAGCAAGGCCTGCTTTCTGCACCCCTGGGGGACAGGAAGGGGGGCTTTCAGAGCTCCAGCAGGTGGAAGAACAGGCCCGCAAACAAAGCCGGGGGCCGCTGTTCGCTGCTCCCCAGCAATGGAAACCACAAACACAGCAACCCCCCCGCCCCACCCCTGCCAGGAAAGCCAGGTCCACGCCCCACCCGCTGCTCGGTGCCCCCCGAGCCATTCCCCTCCGAGGGCTGGGACGGCTGCCACCCCCTCCCCCTGCGATCCTCCTAAATGGGGTTTCATCTGCCGGGTGTGGTCCAGGGAGCAAGTCTACAGCTGATCTACCCCGAGTCCGCACGGGGGGCCGGAAGTCCCGCGGGCCCGCCAGGGCTGCAGCAGCGGCCTCAGCCAGTCGGTCAGACGGCAGGACCCTCTGCGGGGCCGCTGGGCGGGTCTCTCTGGTCCTCACACCAGCAAGTGCCACGCCGGCGACCGCCGAACCCGCACACTCTTTGGTATACATAATAAAGAAAAAAACTAATTAGGCCATGAATTCTAGAAACGAACACCAATTTTGCGTCGGTAAATGCTCTTTCCAACCCACGTTTCTGGTGTCTGGCACGGCTCGTCAAATGTCCACTGTTGTGCAACTCTTCCTCACACAGTCAGTGTGGGTTCCATGAATGTCACCTCTCGCCTAAGCGTTAAGAACATTTGACACTGTTCTTCTCAGTCTTCACGACACCCCTGTGAGGTAGGTGGTGGTGACCCCATTCCACGGATGGGGAGGTCTAGGCACAGAAAGGTAGGTGGCTCCTCGGAGGCTGCGTGGTGCGGCGTGGGGGCAGGGTGGCGCTCCGGCTGGGGCCCCGCCGCCTTCCCATCCCTGCGTCCCTGCATCCCGGTGCCGCCGCAGAGCCGCAAGGAAGGGCCCCACGCTGAGACCGAGCTCCTGTCCAGCCCGAACTCAGCAAGCGCCTGCAAAGTCTCTGCACTCGACTCATGGAGCCAACCGCTCTCCCTGAACTCGAAAAACAAAAATAGGACTGACTCTCAGTTGGGATTAGTTGCTCTATATACGATTTTCACGAGTCGGCGTGAACTCTGTAGCTGTGTGTGCTCTTGATACCCCTCTGGGAGAGTCTGAGATGGCATTAGCGACTATGACATTTTCAGATCAGAACACAGAAATCAATAGGTAATAGATTTAAATCAAAACACACAACTATACGCTATGGTAAAATAATAACATCCCAGATAAATGGGGAGCAGTATTTCTTAGCGTTTAACGATGCCTCGCACAGAGCAGGCATTCGGTAAGCATGTCTGGGATCAAGGACACATGACGGCCTTGGACATGCCTGCCGCTGGCGACAGCCCCCACGAGGGAGACGGGCGGGGGGCAGGGGGCCCGGAAGCCACGGGGCCCAGGCTCCCTGGCGACACAACGCCACTGGGCCTACCGGGCTGCGTGCCGACGCCTCCGCTCTGCCCCAGAGAAGGCGGGGCCACAAGCACCGAGCCCCCTGCGAACCTATACTGCTATTGATGACGGACAGACAGACCTGGGAGTAGGGTTAAATACGCGAAGAGCAAGGTGCCTTGCAAGGAAGGTGAAGTGGCTTTGAGAATGCGCAGACGCTCGGGCGCCGAGGACGGAAATGAGGAGGTCGGAGCTGTGCTGCGTTTCAGCTAGAGGAAAGGTTGTCGGTGTATTTCTAACCCTAAGAAGCACTGGTGCCCGCACACCCCTTCCTGCTGGAGGAGCCCCGTTCAGAGGGAGACGAGTCCGCCTCTCCAGAGGGGCCTCGAAGGCTGGCGCGCGGCCTGGGCGCTCCGGGGCGGGGGGCACCGCGGGGTATTGCTGTGATCTGCTCCTTGCGCATCCTCCATCCGCGCCCTCAACTGACGCAGCCCCAGAACGCACTGCTCCGGGAAGCTGGGGGGGCCGGGGCAGCCCCTTGGTCCGACGGCCTTCTGACTGCTGGGTCTTAAGGGATGTTCCAGAGGAGACGGCGACATAGAAAACAATCGAGAAAATCCACTCTGCAGCGAGGCCGCCCGGAGGCCGTCCCGTCCCGGGCTGCACGGGGCGTCATAGCTCCACCTTGACCCCGTTTATGAAAGGCAGGCCCGTGGGCACCCGCCTCTTGTACTCCAGGTACTCCTCGCCGAAGAAGTGGATGAGCGAGATCTCCTCCTCCTCCGTGCGGTCTCGGAAGAAGCGCCACACCGTCAGGGCGTAGCCGACGCCGCACACCGGGTTGCACAGCATCACCTGTTGGGAACAGAGGTCGGGCAAGGTCGGGGGGGCCAACGCCGGGCACTTCCGCGGCTCCTGCTGCCGCCAGCACCCCCAGGGGACGTCCCGCCAAGGGCCCGAGAGACGCTCAAACCACAAACTGCGGTCAGGGTCACTGAGGGCCGCAGCCGGCGTGCCGGCGAGTGCGGTCGCACTGTCAGCACTGAGCTCGTGTCACAGCTGGCCTCCCGCGTGCCCTCTGCCGTCTCTCCCGCCTGAAGGGTGGGTGGCTCGCGCATGGGAAGACCAACCTCTTGGATCGCGTCCCCAGACCTGGGCGAGAACAGCCCCCCCTCCAGCCCCCACGAGCAGATAGACCCCCACTCACCTGGTGCTCCCCCACTTCTGCCTTCCCGCACGGCGGCCAGCCCTCGCCTTCCTGTCCCGGGCCACCACAGCCTAACACGCTCCCTCCCACCCCCCCGGCGGCCTGGTCCCTGCCCCTGGCCCCACTGCCCGCCCGTGTCCCTGATCCACTGCTTCCTACTGAGCTTCCGAAACGGCTTCCTCCACCCAGTCACTCCCATGCTCAGAGACTCCAAGGCCCAACCCGTCCCCTTGGGCTGGTGGGAGCGCAGGACCTGCGCCCACCTCTTCCAGTCCCACCCCCCACCTCTGGCTACCTCCACCTGGGCCGCCTCTCACCTCCGAACCGTGTGGTTTTTCCACTTTCGAGAACGTCTCATCCACTGACCCATCGCCAAGGAGTCCTTCCGGGCCAAGAGCGCATCCAGCCCTCGGGGAACCCACGCGCCCACCCCTGGCCACGCCGACCGGCCCGCCAATGTGCGTCTTCCCCGAGCGGGCGATCTCCACCGAGAGGCAGGCGCTCGCCTTCCACTCCTCATTCTCACCACCGTTTGCCCGCCGAACACGGCTCTCCGTTCCCAGCCCACGCTCAGCCCTTCACCACCAAGGAGCGGCCCGGCCCGGGGCAGACCCCGGGGCCTGCTGCTGCCCCACCAACTCGTGCGCACAGGGAGGCCAACCGGTCAACGTCAGAGCCAGGACGGGCCGGACAGCAGCCCCCGAGCCCGAGCCCTCGCCGCCGCAGACGCCTCTCCGCACGAGCTGGAGCCGGGTTTCCCCCTCGCGGGCCACGGGCTGTACTGAGCCACGAGATCACAGACAGCCTTACGAACAACAATGAGGAGAAAACAGAGTGCCTCGTGCACAGTCAGGGCCAGTGCTGTCCCGGGAAAGGCTCGTTCCGCTTTTACACACGCGTGTGTGCTGGGTCACAGCGTACAAAGATCTGTGGCCGAAGAAGTATAAAAACTCTTTAGCCCTGGCTGGTGTAGCTCAGTGGACTGAGCACCAGACTGTGAAGCAAAGGGTCCCTGGTTCGATTCCCAGTCAGGGCGCAGGCCTCGGTTGCAGGCCAGGTCCCCAGTAGGGGGTGCTCAAGAGGCAACCACACATTGACATTTCTCTCCCTCTCTTTCTCCCTCCATTCTCCTCTCTAAAAATGAATATTTAAAAAAAAAATAAACTATTACTCCTGGCTGGTGTAGCTCAGTGGATTGAGTGCAGGCCTGCAAAGGGTCAGCAGTTCAATTCCCAGTCAGGGCATATGCCTGGATTACGGGCCAGGTCCCCAGTAGGGGGCGCATGAGAGGCAACCACATACTGATGTTTCTTTCCCTCTCTTTCTCCCACCCTTCCCCTCTCTAAAAAATAAAGTTAAAAAAAAACAAACTTTAGTCCTCATGCTTATAGCTCGCACTGATGGCAACTCTATGTCTCAACCAGAACTGATTTCTTCCTGGGGAACGTGACTGTTAATGCGACACTCTTTAAGTTTCAGAAATGCAAGTTTTAAAACAAGTGCTGTGTGCTGGCCAGGTGGCTCAGTGAGTTGGAGCATCATCCTACACACCAGAGGGTTGCGGGTTCGATCCTTGGGCAGCATGTGTACAAGAGGCAGCTGATCAATGTTTCTCTCTCTCCCCCCTCCCCTTCTCCTCTCTCTAAGATCAATAAAGGCATGGCCTCAGGTAAGGATTTAAATAAATAAATAAATAAATAAATAAATAAATAAATAAATGAAATAAGGCTATGCAGTGACCACTGGGGCCACCAGAGTCCCCACGGACCATGCGCTGCCCTGGAATGCTGGGGCCCAGGCCGCATTTTCCTCATGAGGCGGTGAGTTTCCTAAGCTCTACGTTTCCATGTTCTCCGGCCAGGTCCTCCCAGGACCGAGAGAGCAGACTCGAGAGACGATGGCCAACGGACCAAGCTCACTCTGCAGCCCTAGTCAGACCAAAGCCCCACGGTCGCGTTAAGCCTGCCACACGGCCTCGGCCTCCCCAGTGGCGGCGGCCTCCCCGAACACAAGCGGCGGCCCCGTCTCTGTCCTCACCCCCCTGCGTGCTCCAGGCCCAAGTGAAAGAGGCAGAGCAGGGGGGCAGCAGATGGGGGACGGCACCCAGACTCCCCAAAAGCTTACAACTCGGGACGCCCGTATTTCCAGCACCCGGTGAGAGGTGTCAAGGGCTACATCGGTTCCTCTGACTTTTATTCAGTTCTCAGCTGAACCGTGGCGGGGAGCAGGGGCCCCCACTCACAGAGGGCAGCGGCCTTGTGACCGCGCGGACACCCGCTGGACGGCGCACCCAGAAGTGGGCGGTTTTGTGCTGCGTGAACGACGCGTCAACCGTGTTTCAGGAGAAGGCAGAGGAGGCCCGGCCGCCCCCAGGACCGTACCTGGGTGCCGATGCTCCAGTAGAACCAGCCGACGTAGGAGGGGTGCCGGAACCAGGCGTACACGCCGCTCGTCACCAGGGTGTGGGTCTCCGACTTCTCGTTCTGCACCACGTGGTTGAAGTTGGAGCCGGCTGTGAACATGGCCGCTTTCCTCAGACACTCCCCAAAGACGACCATCAGCAGGCCCGTGGTGCTCAGCCAGGTGATCTGCTTCAGTTCTGCAGGACACAAGGCGACAAAAAGGGAAGTGGAGACTCGGGACCTCGGAGTCCCCCCCCCACCCCCGCCTTGGGATGCTCACGACGACTCTGTTTCCCAAAGGCAGGGTCGGTGGGAGACACGCTCGTGGGCCACGGGCATCTGTTATCGCATTCAAATCTGAGTACGAGCAAAGCACGCCCTCCCAGGTCGTGCTGTTCGTCTGTCTCCAGCGCCGACAACCCCGCCAGAGCAGCCCAGTAAGAGCGGGCAGGCTCTCGGTCCACACCGCCCTGCCGCGGCTCCTGGCCTGCCCCCGGGGACGCAGACAGCTGAGTGAGACAGAGGAGGACCCAGTGCTTCCCGCCGTGGCCATTTGCTGTACGCTGGGAACCACACACATCTGATTCAATTTGCTGCGGGAGGGTCCACTTGCGAGTAGACGCCTGGTGCAGAGGCTTTTGCTAACAAAAGCTTCGTAGGAAATGTCTCAAACCACATAAAATGGCGAGATCCAAACCTCCTCAGACCGTACAATTAGGATTACAATGGTCAAAGGCAGGGCCTTCTCATCCCAGGAGGCACTACGTTATGCAAAGCCTAAGGCAAAAGGTCGGCATGTCCTCGATTCCAACTCCGGAAGCAAAATCCACAAGCGCGTCCTCCGTAAAGAGCTTAGTGAGGACGGAGGCCTGGGGACAGCACTCGGGGAGATTAAACCTGACCGGGGAACCCAGGTCACCGTCGCCAAGCTGGCGAGGAACCGCCCGCCGCCCCTCCGGAGGGGAGAGCGGGGCGCGCTGACCTGGCCAGAAGATGTTCTCCAGCGTGAACTCGATCCAAGAAGAAAGGGCGGCCACGGTGTACTCCAGGCTGTGGTTCAGGAGGAAGGAGTCCAGCGACAGGCTCCTGGGGTTGTTCACCGCCGTGACCAAGTACTCCGAGTAGTGGAACAGCGCCAGCGAGCACATGTACCTGCCGAGGACAAGGGGGCAGGCTGAGCTGGGGCCTTCGGAGTAAGAAACTAAAGGGGGACAGAGGGCGGCGAGGCGGGGTAAGGGAACAGCCACACGACGAAGTATGGACTCGAGGCTGTGAAGCTGTCCCTGAGTTCTGCGATAAGGCCCTACCGCCACCTGTCCGAGCGTGGACCTCGGGCGTCCGTCTTACTCCCCCAGGTGTGCAGAAAGTGGGGCTTTAAAGGGACTACACTTTTGAATGTCACAGGCAAACAAACAAACAAACAAACACAGGTTACGAAGGCATTGCAGGCCCTCTCGCCTTTCTAAAACGACACCGCACACAGGAAAACACGAGAGTGGGAAACTGCAGAATAAAGTAGAAATGTACATCAAATACTAACATTTTTAAGAAGATTTTATTTATTTATTTCTAGACAGGGAAGGGAGGCAGAGAGAGAGAGAGAGAGAGAGAGAGAGAGAGAGAGAGAGAGAGAGAAACATCAATGTGCGGTTGCCGGGGGTTATGGCCTGCAACCCAGGCATGTGCCCTGACTGGGAATCGAACCTGCAACACTTTGGTTCGCAGCCCGCGCTCAATCCACTGAGCTACGCCAGCCAGGAAATACTAACATTTTAAAAAATGAAATAACTCCAGCAACAAGGAATTAGACAGCTCAGTGTTGATAATGGGAGAAAAGCCCTTCACCATGAAGCCACTGGTTCCTACCCAGGTCGGGGACTAGACGGCGTGAGGGACTAGACTGAAATCAGAGCGTAGGGAGAAATCCTCCCTGGCCCTGGGGGGGTGCACTGGGTGCGCCCCTAGTGGAAACCAGAGACGGCGGAGGCCTTAGAAGACGAGCCAGAGCCTTGCCCCTTCCCGCCACGGCAGCGCACGTCTCAGCAGCTGCAGCTGCAGGCACCTGCGAGGAGGGAGCCAGAGTCTCGCTTCCGCCGGCAGCAGAAGCCACGAAGGGGCACAAGCCTTCAAGGTCCCAGCTGTGGGAATCTCGGTGAGAGATGGATGCCTCACTTCCACAGAACCCTAGACAGCTTCAGCCAGCCAGAGATAAGACACAGAAACGATGACATCCTGCCATCCGCCCTGGGATCTGCCCACCCTAGCCTCAAGCCCAAGCCCCCTGCCCCCCAAGTCCTTCTTACCAGCCAAAGTGACTCCAGGAAGACTGGCTAAAACTCAGCAGCATCCCACAGCCGAACACGAAGCCCAGGAAGCAAGCTCGGATGGCTATCTGAAAGAGACCCACGAGAAGTCGTCACCCGCTCTCCTTGGGGGCACACACACCCTACTTCCCGGGACAGGCAGGCCACCAGCAAGCACCTAGAGCCTGGGTGGAAATCCCGCGCCCACAGCTCTGCCTGTGTGGCCTTGGGCAAGTTACTTAACCCTCTGGACCTCGGTTTCCCCATCTACAGAATGGGGATAATAACAGTACCTACCTTTCAGCACGGCCTTGAGGGTTACCCATGTAAAGCACATAGGAGCAAGTGCTACATAAGTTTTAGCTGCTATTATTACTCAGGGCTGTGGGTAAACTGTGTGAACCTAATTTACTGGCAGGATTCTCCCAAGTCACGGTGGCGATCCTGGTCTGGGCACACGGACTCTAGCGCCCGGCCCCCTCCACGTAACTGCGGGACCTCTGACCTCAGACTTGACAGTAGGTAGGTCTCCCCGCACCTTCAGTTACATAAAAGAACTCGTGGGCTCGCTCACTCCTCACCCCACGCGCCTCTGCCGCAGCTGCTGAACGGCACCAATTGCAATTCTGCACCCGCTCCGCCGGGTGGAGGGCCCCACGCCCCCGAGCCGAGTGAGTCGCGGTCCCTCCTGCCACTTGAACTCGCGACCACAGGACACACTGGGGAAAGTAGCCCCTCTCCCCGTCGACCCCGACCCGGACCCCGGGGAGGGTGCCCGCGCGCCGCGCCCAGCCCGCCCGGTCCTCGCCCGACGCCGGCCCGCACCTGGTAGCGCGGCGGTCGGTAGAGCAGCAGCAGCAGCGCATTGAGCCCGGCTACGTAGAGCGCCAGCCCCGTGCGGCCCTGCAGGCCGGCGCGCGTGAGCAGCGGCAGCGCGAGCACGGAGGCGCCCAGGAGGAAGGTGGCGAGACTGAGGCGCGCCTCGGAGCCCGGCGGAGCCCGCGCCGCGCAGCCCGCCATGGCGCAGGGCGGCGGACCAGCGGGCGACAGCGCCGGCCGTAGCCCAGGGAAACCCGCCCGCCTGCCCGCCGCGCCTGCGCACTGCGCCGCCGACGCCGGCGGGGAAGGAGATGCCGGAGCTGCGCGCCGCCTCTGAGCTCTCGCGATAATGCAGCGCCGCAGGGCTGGGCTGGAATTTGGCGGGAGCGCCCCGCCCCGTCCGGGACCGCCCCGCCCCGCCCCACGGCCCTGCCCAGATGCCAGGGGACGTCGTGACCTCCATCGAGCGGCAGCCGGAGGGGCGGGTCCTCAGGTCGCCTGGGTCCCGGGCAAAGTCCAGACCTCCAGAACGTCTCTGATCGTAGAAATCACGAGAAATAGAAAGTGACCCAACCCTCGGCTGGCCCCGCGCAGTCTTCCCCCAAATTCACACCCGTCGGCGCGCGGCCGCGAGCGGGGCCGATCCCATCCTCCACTTTTAGGGGTCCGCACTCAGGGGCCGAGCACGGATTTCCCTCGCGCGCTCTCAGCAGACTCCCCGAGCACCCGCTGGAGCCCACGTTGCGCCTCAGGGACGGGAACATTACCCTTAGGGCACAAGCCCTGGGCATCCACGCAGCCGGATGACCGCCAACTTGGCGGATGATGGAGCAACTCAGGATGTGCACGTGTTTTAAAAGGCAGAATTCAAAACTTCACAGTGTGGTCTTGACTTCACTTGGGAAAAACAGAATCACTTGTGTGAGTCTGGGGACATGTTTAAAGTAAAAGTCAGGGGGCAAATCTCTGAGCGACTTTTATTTTCTTCTTTATATGTGTTTGTATTTTCCGTAGTGCCCACAATCAAATTATATTACTCTTATAATCATAAATTCTCCTTTGCTCTTTTTAGAGGGTGAATTAATAACGCCCCACCTGGGGAGCTAGCTACACAGCAGTGGGGGAAGAAAAAGGCAAGACAACAAATGACCAGGAAAAACTACGGCTGGGTGGGAGAGGGGCCGGAGCCAAGTGCAGACGGAGAATGGAGGGGAACCTCACTGAGGGACCTTAGGTGGGAGCGCCGGAGGGTTCAGATTCTGCGAGGAAGAGGCGCTGCAGCGAGGTCTCAGCGCCCTCCGGGGCCCGCAGCCCGCCTGCCACCCGAAATGAGAGCAAGGGCGTCCAAGGGGATGAGGGGAGGGAGGGCGGCACGGAGTTTGCAGCCACAGAGGCCGGAGGAAGCAAGGGTGAGCAGGATTGGGGACAGGCCCCAGGGGACGCTGGAGCCCAGAGCAGTGGGCCAGACAGCACCGAGGCCAGGTGGGCTGTGGGCTGCTGTCAGCGGGGTCCAGCCTCTGAGCTCCTGGCCCGCCCCCTCCTCTGTCCCCACAGGACCTGGCTGGATGCCTGGCGTTTGGGCCGCTGGGCTCAGGGAAGGATGGAGACCCTGGGCTGGAATCCTGGCGCCTGCACTGCTGCAGTGCAGCTTTGCGACCGCAGGCAAGTCAACTCTATGGGACTCGGTTCCTGTAAAATGGGGATCCTGATTTCCCGGGCCAGTATTGACAAAGTTCTGCAAAGCCCAGGACCATGTTTCAATGGCGCTCACAGGACATGTGCTGAACTTGGTTGGTCGGAATTGAAAGGAGATTTAATGTTTTAAGTTCCAAAGTCGACCAGCTGCAGTGCCACGTGGGAAGGAGGCCTGGGCTTCATGTTGAACTTCAGCCTCTGCCCCAGTTTTTCATGGTTTCCCCCAGACTCCGGATTCCTCCCCCTGCGGCAGGAAGCCTCGGGGCCACTAGAGGGCGCTCGTTGCATCTTCACTCCTGTGAGTAAGTGTCCTCCTGGGGCAGAGAGCCGCTCCCAGGAAACTCCATCTCTGGCCATTGGCCAGGGACCATCCCCATTCTGGGGACAGAATAAGGTAATCCAGATTCTCCCCTCTGCCGATCACTTCCCTTTCAGGGGTGTCCAGCCTGCCGCCCAGGATGGCGATGAATGAGGCCCCACACAAAATCGTAAGTTTCCAAAAAAACCTTTTTTTCCCTTATCAGTCTTCATTAGCGTTTGTGTATTTAATGTGTGGCCCAAGACAATTCTTCTTCCTCCAGAGTGGCCCAGAGATGCCAGAAGGTTGGACACCCCTGTGGGACCCCACCGGCCCCACCTTAAAGAAGGAAGGATGGGAAAGCAGGCCAGTCCGCACGTGGCCCGTCCAGAGGGAAGAGAGTTTTTAGAAGTCACTGGAGTCTATCAGGGCTCAGGGTTCAGAGGCCAGTGATGGAGGCACTAGGCAAGTAAGCAAATATATTCACATGCTGGCATCGGCCCAGAGGAACAAAGCAACACGAAGAGATGCGCACAGAGAAACCGAGGCACAGACCGGGGTACACGTGCACAGGCCTTCCCCCCCGCCACACACAGAGGAAAGCAGTCCGATCGGACACACTCACTCACCCAGCCGTTTGATGCGCCCCTCCCCCGCCAGTCCAGGGGAACAACAAGCCTCCGAAACCCGAGAAAACAAAGGAAAACTGCTCAGCTCTGGGATGCCTCACTTGCCTTTTTGTAAATAAGCATCTGAATGTGTTTTGTTCTAGGAGCTGCCAGGCCAGCACAAAGGGAGCCCTTTCTCATGCAGGAAGGTCCCTCAGCACACCCCAACCCCCCCCCCCATCCTGCCATCTGCCCCCAGAAAGAGGTGGCTTCCACCCCTGGCCAAGTCCGGAGCTGTCCTGTTTAAAGAGTCCTGAGAACCGACCTGCCGGTTCCCAGGTAAACTGCAGGCTGAGATGAAATTAGGCTTCCTTTTCTTCAGCAGATTGCTTTGTCGAGCAAGAGAGAACGGAGGTGAGGGAGGGGATGCCCGACCAGCAGCAGGCAGGTGCAAGGGTGGGCATTTACCGAGCACTTTCACCCACATGGTCTTCCCGAGACGAAAAGTTTGCTCCTCTCCAAGCTTGGCACCGAGTAGGGAAAAGCTCAGAAACTGGGCCCCTCCCTCCTCCTTGCTGGTGGGTCCCCAGAAAGTCGCTCTGCGAGTGGCCTACTGGGCCCCTTGTCACTCACAGGCCTGGTCCAGTTCCCATGTGGTGGTGGGGGTGGGGTGAGGCCGTCCACTGTGGCTGGGCTCTTCCCAGGAGGGAATCCCGGTCCTCCAAAAGTTTGCTTTTCCCTCCCGGGGCCATTCCGGGCTCCAGGCATTAAAGCCTCCTGTCTCTGGTCTGGAAATGGGTAAATGACGCGTAATTTATGAGCACAGCAGCCCAAAGTGCGTAAGTCACATGCGCACAAAGCGGCCGGGTAAATATTTAAAGATGAGAGCCAGCTGGGGAGAAACACAAAGGGCCGGGACAATGGGGGTCTCTCTGAATTCACTCTCTCGGAGCCGGGCCAGCCCGGTTCAGTGTTGATGCACTCACCGGAGTCCCAGCCTTTGTCCCCGGGGGGGACCCTTGGCTGCCGAGCTATTCGGAGCCCAACGCTGCCAAAGAGAGTTAAACAATAGCAGCCTCTCCGACCCCATCTGGAGACAATTGGCTGGGTCATTCCAGTGCTTTCGCTGTGTCCCAATAGTTAATTACACGGAGCAATCGCTCCATCCCACTTTGAAATGCATCTGCGGAGGGGGACGGTGCCTTCCTCCCACCAGTCGCCGCGCTGCACGTGGCCTGTGCCGCACTCACCAGGGAGAGCTGCTTTAAGGGCCTGGGGCCCCCGCGAGAGGCAGAGAGGCTGCCCAGGGCTGCCACCCGCAAGGGCTGGTGGAATGTCGCTGGGCCTGCAAATGCCCTTCCCACCTCCTTTCCTGACTTGAATTGATGTATAATGTCTGGGGGGGTGGGGTGTGAGTTTTGCCAAAGCCAAGAAAGCCGAAAGGGGAGGGAGGGCAGAGGCAAAACCAGGTACTCTTCGCCTTAAACTCCTGAGCGTGAGAAAGCAGAGGGCGCTGAACAGCCCCGGAAGCCCCCCAGATCCCTCCGCAGTTAGAGAAGGTATTTGTGCCAGGACCGGCAAGGGCAGCCTCGGTCACCGCCGCGCTCTGCCTGGACTTGTGCTCCTTTCCAAGCGCCCTGGGGACCCCAGATCCTAAAGATGGAAAGGGAGTCGCTGGCCTACATCTGAGCTTGCATAAGGCCGGCCTCTGAGTGGGTCGTGCCCTTCCGGGCAGCTCCAGCTCCCCCGCAAGCCCTTCATCCCGAGTGCTGCCAGAGAGGACGCGGGGTGAACCCGCGGACGCGCCTCCACTTCGGAGGCAGAACGCCTCCCGGGCCCTGGGGCGCCTCGGAGGCCTGGCCTGCCCGAGTAGCTGTAGATGCCCGGACGCAGGTCTGGCCAACAGCGCGGGGGAGGAGGCGGAATTGGGCCCCCAGCCTGGGCCTCCTAGAAGGATCTCCGTGGAGACTTACTTATCGACTGTCTTGTCCAATGACCTCGCCTTTAGCTTAGTGGGGGAAGTGGCTGCCCAGAAGGAGCCAGAATTGGGGTCGCGCGGGGATGTGGAGGGGGGGGACAAGAAGCTGTCTTCGAGCTCGGGAAAAGGGAGGGTGCGACCCCTATCAGCCGCGAGTTCGGTGCGACCCTCAGTCGGCTTAAAACGAGATTGGTGGCGGGGTGCGGGCACTCTGGGCGGGGGGAGGCTCGGGAAATGAGGCCAGGCATCAGCCTAGCCAGGGACACCGCTGTGTGAGGAGGTGCCGGGGGATGGGGGGGGGAGGGGCGCAGCGGGCGGTGCGCGGGCGGAGGTGGGGGGCAGCGGGGGCGGAGCTGGACGGTGGAGAACGCCGCCCCGCCAGCCTCGCCTCCCACAGCCGAAGCAGAACATTGCGAATTAGAGCATTTTGCGGTCAATTTTCCACTGCTTAAGAAGCACTAAGCCACCCACGCGAGCGGCCACACCCTGCGCAGCCGGGATCCCTGGGCACGGGCTCCGGACCAGCGGCGGCCTGAGGAGCTGTGGGTGCCGGGGTGCAGGCGGGAGCAGCCTGCGGGCCCCTTTATGGTGGCCCTAACTCCGGAGAGGGGCCGGCCCCGCGCCCCCGCTGCGGGCCGCGAGAGCCGCGCGGAGGGCCATTGGTTTGCTAGTGCGCCGCAGTTGAAAGGCGCTGGCGGCGGTTTATGGGGAGGGATCGTAATTAGACGACAAATTGCCCCGCTGCCCGCGCTGCTCGAGAGCGGAGGCGGGGTTGGGGGGTCCGCCAGGGCCAGGCGCGCGCCCAGCCTGGGTGCAGATGCGCTGCAGCTGGAAGCCTGCGCGCGGCAGGGCGCCCCGAGCTTGGGCCCAGGGGGCGGGGGCGGGCGCGCTTTGTGGGGCCCGCACAATACCCTTAACGCTCGGCCGCCTCCTTTGTGCCGGGCTGCGCCGCCCGCCCGCCCCGCGGCTCCTCTGGCGCCTTTGTACGGCGCCGCCGCTCGCCCTAGCCAGAGCCAGTGCGTCCACGCGGCTCGGGCCCTGCCAGCCTCGGCGCTTCAAAGCTGCCTGGCGCGTGCCAGCGCCCGGGGCCCGGCCGGGATGTGGCCGGCGGGCCCTACGGCCAGGGAGGAAGAGCACTCCGCGCCGCTATGGCCGCAACCTCAGCCTGAAAGGAAGGCGGGGCTCTGTTCTCCACGCTGCTGGGCACTTGGGGACGACGCTGCCCCGGCAGAGCGCTTCAATATCGCGGGCGAGGGCGGGGAGGGAACAGATCCCCGCGCCGGAGGGAGTGGGAGGCCCACCCAGAGCCTAGCAACTTCCCCTGCCCCTCCCCCCGCGGCCCTGCGAAGGCCAGTTCGCTCATTTCTCTGCCGGGGGGCTTCCCCGGGGACTTGTGCGTCCCTACGACTGGCCCCCCCCCCCCGCCCTCGAAAGCAGCTGCGGGGACACGCATTGCCCAGAACCCCACTTCAGAAGCGTGGAAACCGAGGCTGTGGGCGGCCCGTGCAGGGAGAGGTGTAGGTCTGAGCCCATCCAGGGTCTCCCCTGGGCGTCAGCCTTCCCGCCAGTCACAGCTCCTGGAGTCCCGCTCCTGCGCCCAAACCCAGGACGGCCCTGCAGTCCTCCTGGGGCCGAGCCCCTCCAGGGCAGGTGCCTCCTCCCCGAGGCTCCCTGGGTCTCCAGCTACAGCCAGAACTTGAACAGAGGTTCGGGTCCCAGACCTCCAGAAGCGCCGAATGATGCTCTCCCAGATGATCAGTGGCCTTCCCCGCCCCCTCCTCCCGTTTGCTGGGACCCAGGGAAGGCCATTGGGAGTAAACTCCCCGGCTCTCCCGGGGAGGGTAAGTGTTCTCTGAGCCTGAGCTGGCCGGCCTGCGCTGGCTGGAAGCCCAGGACCGGACGTGGGGAAGGCTGTCCTGGCTCGCCCTGGCCCGAGGCTGCCGCCTGCAGCTCGTCCTCCTGCCGCCCCGGGAGAGTGTGGTCCCTAAGGAAGTCAGAGGGCACCTGAGCCCGGGCCGCATCCCGGCGCAGCAGTGTCCGAGTCCCCAGGCACCAACAAGGAGGAGGCAGGCTGTGGCCCTGCGGGCGGGCTGCACGCTTTAATGGGACACATGTCTCTGTGTGGCCCCGGGGGCCTGGGCCGCGCCTGGCTTTGAGCGGCCACAGGCAGAAAATTGCTGCATTGTCCCTGCCTCAGGGGCTGCTGATGCAGCGTTGCCAGCCTGGACAGAGCGTGAAGACCGCCGGCAGCCTTCGCTGGCGGGCGCTTGCTGCCGCCTCACCTTCATCGGGCCGGCAGAGGCCTGGTGCGCCGTCACGGTCATGAGCGGGGCTGGACGCTGGAAGGCCCCAGGGGGTGCCCCAGAGAACCCTTGAAGATAGGAGCAGCAAGGCCTAGGCAAGTAGGCCTGGTGGTGGGGCCCAGAACCCGGGGCCACTGGGATGGGACAGGCATGGAAGGGAGGGTCCCCGGCCCTGGGAAGTGATGGGGCTGAGAGGGATAAAGACAAGGCTGAGAGCCCTGGCTGGCGTAGCTCAGTGGATTGAGCTCGGGCTGCGAACCAAAGCGTCACAGGTTCGATTCCCAGTCAGGGCACATGCCTGGGTTGCAGGCCACAGCCCCCAGCAACTGCACATTGATGTTTCTCTCTCTCTCTTTATCCCTCCCTTCCCTCTCTAAAAATAAATAAATAAGTAAGTAAAAAAAAAGAAAAGGCTGAGAGAGAGTAGAAGGGGTCCCTCTCTCGAGAGGGAGGGAGGAGGCATCCTGGGCCATGAAAGGAAGTCAGGCAGAGGGAGGTGGGGAGTTTACCGGTGTGTCCCCCCTCGTCCCCTCCTCTCCAGAATTCCTGGAGTCCAGGGCCATCTCATTGACATGCAAACGAGGGGCCCCTATAAAGGCCGTGCTGCCGCCCGAGGGTGCAGACTCGAAAACATGGGCACTGAGCCCGAGACCCAGGGCAGCCCCAGCGGCCCTGCGGGCAGATTGCGAAAGGTCTGGGGGTCTAAAGGGCTCGGGGTGGGGGCCCTGCCAGGCCAGTGGGGGCGTGCAGGACCAGAGGGTGGGGGCCCCGCCCTCTAACAGCCTCTCGCCCCCAGATCTCCAAGCCGCTGATGGAGAAGAAGCGGCGGGCACGCATCAACGTGTCGCTGGAGCAGCTCAGGTCGTTGCTGGAGAAGCACTACTCGCACCAGGTGAGCCCCAGGGCTGCTGCGGTGGTGGTGGTGCTGCTGGGTGAGGCGGTCCCTGCCTCGTCTCCTGCAGCCCCGGCGCCCCCGCTGAGAGCCCTCTCCACGGCCCACAGATCCGGAAACGCAAGCTGGAGAAGGCAGACATCCTGGAGCTGAGCGTCAAGTACATGAACAGCCTCCAGGACTCGCTGCAAGGTAGAGGCGGACCCTGGAGGGCCTGGGGGGGGAGGGGAAGTGGGGGCCTCCTGGGGTTAGAGCCACCCACAAGGCCAGATGAAGGGGGGATGGACGGAGACAGCAGCGCGGGGCAGTGGGCAGCTGGGCGAGGAGGGAGGGGCCCGGATTGCTGGAGGGCGGAGGCAGCCAAGGCCCCGCAGGCTGTGGAGCTGCAGGCCGAGGGGAAGCAGGTCTGCTGGCCCGGGCAGCGTTCCTGTTGCCTCCCCTCCCCTCCCTTCTCTTTCCCCTCCACACCTCTCCCCTCCCTTCCTCGGTCTTCTCCACACCCTCCTTTTCTCTCCCCCTCGTCTACGCTGCCCTCCCCCCCCCATTTCTCCTGCCCGCTCCCCTCCCCGCAGGGCTCTGGCCGGTCCCAAGCGGAGCCGAGCACCCGTCGGGCTTCCGCGGCTGCCTGCCCGGAATGAGGCAGCTTCTGCGGCGCGGAGAAGAGGGCGGCGGCGGCCTGCGCTGCCCCCTGGCGCACGAGGACGCGGGCGGCAGGACCACGGACAGCGCCACTCCCGGCCCGGAGGCGCCCGCGGCGCGGCGCCGCCCCTGCGCCCCGGCCGTCTGGGTGCCGGATTCGGCCGCCGGCGGCTCGCGGTCCCCACCGCCCCGGCTCCTCCTCCCTGCTGCTCTCCCCGTCCCGTTCCCCAGCGTCTCGGCCTCGCAGTCGGCGTCTCGCCACTGCGCCGAGAGCCCGGGGTCAGGGCTGCGCCTGTGGCGGCCCTGGTGAGGCCCAGGGGTGGCCTCGGACTCGAACGGGCCCCCATCGGCTGTGCGGGCGCAGTTTTGAGCGCGCCCGTGAGGACGGCCGGGACCTGTGCGCCCGTCCTGGTCCCGGGGTGAAGGTGGCCAGAGGGCGCGGCGTGCCCGCAGGGAAATACACGGAGACGCGGCGCCCCGGGCTGCCCCCAGGCCTAACCCACCCCCACCCCAGCCCCACCCGCTCAGGCTGGACGCGCTCTCTCCTCCTCTCACCTCTAAAGGGGCTGCGAGGGGGCGTCCAGGGCCGCGCCTTTTTCCCAGGGCCCGGGGCGGGCAGCCCGCCCTCGCCCCCGCCCCGCAGCCGCGCCGCGGTGGGAAGGTCGCAGCCGCAGCGGCGCAGAGCAGACCCCTCGCAGCGAGGAGAATCGCTGCCCCGCCCCGGCCCATTCAACCCGCAGGGGACGCCCGGTTCCCACCGGCACAAAGCACGCCGGGCCCGCCCCCAGGGCGAGGGGCCCCCAGCTCGCCCCCACCCTGGACCCTCTCGGCTTCCAGGGGTCCCACCCCCTCCGTGCCATGCAGCATCCTCGCCTAAGCGGGCGCTCCGAGGCCCGCTGTTCTAAGAAGCACCGCCCGGAGTTGCCCCTGCCCCGCAGCCCGCCCGGAGCTCACCCTTGATATGTGAACACCTCCCCGTGCACCCGACGCTGAGCCCCGCAGCTCTTGGGGGGCCCCCGAGCACCGCCTCGCCAGCTCGACAGCTGCTGGAGTGAAGCCAAGCTCCTCTCGTGGGAGAGTTCACCCCTTCCCACTCGCCAAAGACCACGGCGGCTCCGTGGAGCCCCTGCCTCTGGGTTTCTGGGGCCACCTGGGACCCATGACAAGTGACAGCCCTCGGAGTGCTGGGCACCGGTTTCGGGGGTCCCGCCTGGCACTGGAAGGGGAAGGGAAACTCGGGGTAGGGGATGGGCGGGAGTCTCGTGTTGTGCCCAGGAAGGGATTTTAGCACCTCTTCCCACCAGCTTGAAATTCAGAATAAAGACAGTGCAAATCTGTGAAATGGGTACAAAGAAACTAGGACAGTTCTATTGTGTTCCAGGATGCCCACTTCAGTGCCTCTTTTTGAACTGCAAATACTAACTTCGTGTGAAACATTTCTCCTCATTTTGCTCAGAGCGCTAGAGCGTCACCCCAATAGGCCGAGGTCGCGGGTTGGATCCTGGTCAGGGCACGTACAAGAATCAACCAAAGAATGCATGAGTGGAAACTACAAATGATGTTTTTCTGTGTCTCTAAGATCAATAAAAATTGTTTAAGTTCTCATTTTGAGCCGCCCCTGTCTTGCCCGCGTGCTAAGCCCATACTATGGGTAGGACCGCAGGGAGAGAGCGGCCGGGCCCCCAACCTGATGCAGCAGGCTCTCTCCGGCGCAGGCAGGGCCGCTGTCCGGGCGTTTCCCTGCGGCCTGAGCGTCTCCCAACCTTAGTTGTGTGTGTTTGGGGAGGTGAGGGGTGCGGCTCTGGTGTGTCTTCTGGGCACCAGGTGGCGATCTCGCACCGCAGACCCAGGGTGAATTCCAGCCCCATGGGCCGGCTGGTCACAGGGCACAACTGGTCCCTCGATTCCCGGCTCCAACTGCCTTGCCCTTGTTGCCCTCCTGGATGGACCTCTCAGATGGACCTGAGACCATCTCCGGAGCAGGGCTTCTCCTCCTGCGGTTAGGACCTTGGTGCCCACCGCACGGCTCCGGGCCTATCAAACTCTCTGCGTGGGACCAAAGCCCGTGCCAGAAGAGGACAAGTCCACCCCAGAGGAACAGGGCACTAGGAGAGGAATTCTGGACCCAGTGGAAGAGACAATGGGGTGGGGGGGCGGCAGCCGGCCAGGGGTGCTGTTGGATTCTAGAAAGGCGTTACCATGGAACCAGGCTGGAAGTGCTAGGTGCAAATGATAGGAAGTTTTTATTGGATTCTGTACAGAGGAGAACTGCTTAGTTGTCATAAAAACTGCAAACGGATCCCTGGCTTTGGGCTGGAGGGTGGCATGAAAAGAGAAGTCCCTCCCCACCCAGCCCAGGGTCCAGCTGCCGCTCACCAATGCAGCAAACGGGCCTGGAAGCTGCGCAACGTGAGGGGGCCCCGAGCCCCAGGGTCATCTGCTCGGGGTTCTCCCTGCTCTTTATTTGGTAAAAACCACAATTAGAGGGACTTCCGAGTACCATGTCCCCTTGCATGTATTGCCCTTGGATAGGAAATAGAGTGAAACCCCAGTGGGCCAGCCTGAGGGGGGACCGTGGCCAGCTGGTGACCTCATGGCATACCGGTCCTGAAAGGCACAGGAGCGCTGGCCGGGCTGGACTGCAGTCCTGTGCCTTGCTCCCCTGAGGCCAGCTCGTCCCCCGGGGTTACCCCGGGGCCGGCCTGGCGCTGCAGGAGCCTCCACAGCAGCGATGGAGCCAGGCAGCACGTCCTCTCCCCTCCCAGGGGCCTCTTCTGCAGCGGGGACCCAGTCCGAGGGGCGAGGAGAAGGGCTTGGACCCCGGCAGAACAGAGGCAGAGCGGAGGGGGGCAGTGAACAGGCCCCTGGGTCTGCTCCAGAGCCTCCCGTTTGGGGGCCACTGCATGGAGGCGGGGGGCCTGGACAGGACAGCCTCTGCACTGGCCCCGCCCCTCCAACTCAGCTGTTCGGGGGCCTCTCCCTAGCCCATATCTAGGGGCTTCCCCCACCGAAGACCCGGCAGGCTCCTCTCCAGGGCCCATGGCAAAGCCCGGAGCTGCTGGGGGACAGTAAGCTCCTCCATGGGGAGCTCGGCTTGGGGGACTGCCCAGAGGGACAGGAAAGAGGAGCCCCACCCACAGGGTGGGGGAGCACACTGGCCAGAAACCAGACCTTCAGCTCAGAGCCTGGGAGGTTGTAGGCCAGGATCCCTTCCGGCCGGACCTGTAGGGTCGGGCTGAAGCTGGGCATGGGCACCGGAAAAAGGAAGCCCACTCTTGCTTTGCTTCAGTCGTTCCCACCACACACCCCCGACCCTCGTGGCTGGAGTCCCAGAGGTGGCCAACGTGGTGGGGACAGGCAATGAGAAGTAATGAAAGAGGGCGGTACTAGTGGTCAAAGTAGGTATGGTGTCCACTCAGCGGCCAGGGCACTCGGACGAGCAGACGTCTTCAGTCCTGAGAGTTAACACGGCCACCTGCTCGTCACAGATGGGGGACCAGAGGCCGAACTGGTCTGCAGGGAGACCTGCTCTGAGAGCTCGTTTGGGCTCTGAAGGCCCCTGTGCTTAGAGACCCGCTGCACCCCGTCCCTGAGGGGAGACAGTTCTAATGCTGAGGGCAAAGCCGGGCGCAGTCCAGTGGCTTCCCCGCGCAGAGCCGGGCTCTGTTCCATCTGGTGGCGGCCCTGTCCCGGGGATCCCCAGCCCCCAGCCCAGCTGTTCCAAGCTGCGCACGTGCACAGCCCGCCGTTACCCAAGTTCAGCCTCACTCTGCATCACCCAGAGATGAAGTGCCCGAGGCAGTTGTCCAGGGCAGCCGCCACCCCTCCAGGCAGTGCCTGCATCTCGGGCGAACACGTTGCGCCCCGCGCTGCCGCCCCGGGAGGGCGGGCACATGTCCGGACGTCCATGGCGGGCTCAGTGCCCCCCTGCGCCGAGCCCCGCTGGGCAGGTGGCATCTTTGGTGCTTTGACCCGCGGGCGGCCCCTAGCTCGCGGAACCCAGCGAGTCCGAGTGCAGCGTCACGTAGCCCGAGGACTCGGACGGCGAGCTCAGGAAGCTGCTGGTGCTGCCGCCGCCGCCGGCCACTCGCAGGTCGGCGGGCTCGCCCCAGGACGCGCTCAGGGCCGCCCGCAGGGGCCGCGCGTGCGCCTGCGCGGCTGGGCGCGGCCCGGGGCTCCACTGCGCGCCGGCACCGCCAGGGGGCGCCGCGTCCTCACGGGGCTGGGCGGGGTCCGCGGCGTCGGGGACGCGCGCCGGCGGGGCGGGCGCGCGACCCAGGGCCTGCGGCTCGCGCTCGAAGGCGGTGAGCGCGAAGGCGTCCGGCAGCCGCGAGGCCGAGGCGGAGCGGGCGCCAGGCCCGGGGCGGCAGCGCGGGCTGCTGGTGGGCGAGCTGCGGGCCGCGGGGCGCAGCGGCAGCAGGCTCTCCGCCGAGCGGCGGCGCGGACGGAAAGGGGGCGCGTCCCCCGCGAAGGGCAGCAGGCTGTCGCGGCGCCGGTCGGGCCCGGCGGGCAGCACCAGGGCGGCTAGGTCCTCGCCGGAGCCCCAGCGCGGCAGGACGGCGGGCAGCGGGACCGCGGCCCACAGGTCCGCGTCTTCGTGCGAGAAACGTCTCGTGGGCGGGACCTGTCAGGACCGGCGGGGTTCACCAAGGCTGCCCTCCTGGAAAATAGGGACCCACGCCTCCCCACGCGGGCCGGATGGCTTGTGGGTCAGGAGCGAGGCCTGGGGCTGAGCACCCAGTTCTATTAAGGGCGGGGGTGAATCTCTCCGAGACTCAGTGTTGTCATCTGCGGTTGGGGAGAAGGCCCCCTGAGTGCCGTGCTGAGCCCCAAGGAAATACCACAGACGCCAGATGCACCACTCTTCCAGGGAACGCACAAGGGGAGACGGGGACAGGGAATGGGGTGTCCCACCTGCACTGGCTCCGCACATGGGCCAGCCCACTAGGGAGAGTGAAAGCCGTCCCCTGGGGAGGCTGCAGGCATGAGACAGCCTCAGAGGGCACCAGCCTGGAGGTCAGGATGCCCCTCGCCCCCGAGGCCCGAGCCCCGCCCGTCCCTACCTGTAGGTACTGCATCTTGTCCTCCTGCACGGGCCCCGGCGGGCAGATCTGGGGCAGGCCCCCCTCCAGGGACAGCTCGTAGCTGGCCATCCTGTCCAGGGCCACAAAGTCGCCTCCGTAGCTGTAGTCAAGGGAGCGCTCCAGCACCAGGTCCGGGGGCACACCGCCACCCTCCAGGCTGGCATCTGCAGGGTGGGGCAGAATCTTACGGCTTCGGGAACTTGAGGGCACCCCAGAGTGACTCCAAGGACTCCCCCAGACATGCACAGGCCAGAGGGCCAGTTAGTGGAAACAAGGAAGGTCAGGGTTCTGGGTTCAAATCCTGACTCTGCCCCCTTTCAACGGTGGGACTGGGGAGGTCACCCACAGAGCCAACTCCCCTGTCAACGGGGGTGCGTCCTGAAGTCACCTCGTGAGGCTGGAGGAAGCTAAACGCACACAAGGGGCGGGCAGTGCCTGGCACGTGGCAAGGTCTCAGCTGAGGGTGACACCGTCACTGCTGGGGGAGGTGGGACCCAGGTCTGCAGGAGCCACCGGAACCCCCAAAGTCAGAAGCTCTGAACACAAGCCATCTGGTGTCCACAGCTGCTGCCTGAGGCAGCAAGCAGGCCAGGAGGGCGCTGCAGGGGACACTGTGGCCCCTTAGGGGTTCCAGCACATTTGGGGGTGATACAGGGGGTGTTTGGCAGTTGACAATGGGCATCACCTCAGTGCCATGGGGTGGTCACCATGCAGCTGTCATCCCATTGACTCCAGTGACCTCCCCCGGAGGGTCCCTGGGGGCAGGGCATTCTCACCATCATCCGAATCCTCGTCGTTGGCCATGAGGGCCACGCACTTCTCCCAGACGGCCTTGAGGTCGGCCCGGTAGCGGTCGCAGGCCCAGAGGAACATGGGCAGCAGGAGGGCCTGGGCCACCGAGCACCACAGCACGCACAGCGCCATCCAGGGCGCCGAGGCGTCTGCCCGCAGGCTGCTGAAGCTCACCACCTGTGGGCACAGCACTCCGCCTGGCACCCGCAGGACCCCAGCACACCGCCCCCTCCCTCCCAGACTCAGTCTTGCCACCGCCTGGATGGCAGCGGTAGACGGAGCCCCAGGCTCCGGGGTGAGAAAGGGCCAGAGCGTGGCGCAGCAGCCCCTGCCCGTGGCGAGCAGCTGGCTGCCCCGTGGAAAGAGTCACAGCCCCAAGCACGCAGGGCCTGTCGCAATGTTGCAGGCAGCACGGGCGAGCCATCCCTCCTGTCACCCTCAGGACTGCCTGAGGACAGAGGTGGGGCATGGGTCACCGCCCCCTTTTAGGGAAGAGGAAACAGGTTCGGAGGGCCAGGGCTCAGGCCTCCCAGTTCAGGGACCACCCTGCCCTCCTCGCTCTGCATGGCCAGCCCCCTCCTCCGCCCGCCCCTCCTCCGTGGGTCTAGGCCTGGGACCCCCGAGGAGAAGAACAGAGCAGTTTCTGAGGATCAGAGGGCCCCGTCAGAGAGGTTCCGCACAGGGGCCGCATGCCCCCCCAGAAAGGTGCCGAGTCTGTCTGGGACTCGGTTTCTTCCCCTGAGACGTGAGCCAAGAACTCCCCAGGGCGCAAGGCCGAGACTCCCGACGCTGTGCCAGGCCTGCAGTGCGGGGTGGGCTCCGTGAACGCCCCCCATTCCTGCGCTGAAGAGAAGCCGGGGTGGGGGGCAATCTCACACACACACTCCTTTCCTCCCTCAGCACAGGGCTGGGGACACCGGGCCCCACTGCACACGGAGGACCCCGTCCATACTGGGGGGTCCTGGGCCCACCAAACATGGAGGTGGCTGGGAGCCGCGTGCCTGACTGGGAAGCTGCCATCCCACCATCGGCTTCCGGAGCTTGTGTCCTGCAACAGCGGTCCCCGACATCTGTGGCACCAGGGACCGATTCTGTGGAAGACAATTCTTCCACGGACGGGAGGGTGGGGGGAGACAGGAGGCCGCTCACCTCCTGTGTGCCCCCTGGTTCCTCCGGTCTGTGGCCCGGGAGTTGGGGACCCCTGTCCTACAATGTCCCCAGGGACACAGCCCTACCCGGCTGCTTGAGTGAAGCCTTCCTCTGGCTGGTCCTTGTCCCTGCCCCCTCCCTGTCCTGCTCTGACCCTCCAAGGGGCTGGGCTGGAGACCCGTGGGTGGGGCGGCTTGGCTACTGGGTCCGGACTTCATTCTTGGGCCAGGCCCCAGTCTGGCCTGACTGGCAGGAGCCCAGGTAGCCTCACTAAACCTTGGACCCTGCTGGCAAGGCCGTCCTCAGACCAGCCCTCGCCTTGACCTTCCGCAGGCCCTGGGATCAAGTGTGACTCCCCAGCAGTTAGTCAGAGCCTGCCCCCCGCTCTGACGGGTAGTCGGGACCAAAGCCGACCCTGCCGCACCAAGGCCCCACTCTGCGCGTCCCAGGCCCTGCACCCCCCAGGCAGCCTGTGGGCACCTCCATCCCCTCGGCATCGCACGGGCCTCGCTCAGGGGAGAGAGCCCCCTGCAGTGCGGCAGAAAGACCCTGGGCTGTGAAGTCACCTGAGGTGAGTTCAAGTCCCGCTGCGGCCACCCTGATTTTGGGTGGGTCATTTGCCTCTCTGAACCTTGGTTTCCAAGCCTGTAAAGTGGGGATGTGGATAATGCCCCCCCCCAAAAAGATTGGGTGTGACTGGTGGATTGAGTGCTGGGCTGGATTGAGTGCTGGGCTGCGAATCAAAGGGTCACCGGTTCGATTCCCAGTCAGGGCACAGGCCTGGGTTGCAGGACCAGGTGCCCAGTAGGGGGCGCATGAGAGGCATCCACACATTGATGTTTCTCTTCTCTTTCCCCCTCCCCTCTCCTCTCTCTAAAAATAAATAAATAAAATCTTTAAAAAAAAAGGATTCAGTGTGAGGATGCCAGCACCCGCTGCCTGCTGTGTGCCCACCCCGGGGCCGTCCCGGAACCCGCGGCCCCCGACGGGCGCACCCACCAGCACGGGGAAGCCCATGAGGCAGTCATAGATGAAGACGATGGCGGCCACCAGGCCCGTGATCTGCAGCGAGGTCTTGGCGGGCTCGGAGCCGTCGATGGAGGAGCGGCGCTTGCCCTGCGCATCCTCCACCACGATGGTGGGCACGGTGAAGGCGCGGCGGTCCGCCCGGCGCCCCCCCGGCCCGGCCAGTGTCTGGAAGAGCGCGATGGCCGTGCAGACCACGCCCGTGGCCACGCTGCCTCCCACCAGCAGCAGGAAGCACACGCCGAAGCCCAGGCCGATCTCGGCCACGATGAAGCGGCAGCCGTGGGCGTAGAAGCGTTCGCTCGTGTCGTGCCAGCCGACGGCGGGCAGGGCCGACAGCAGGAAGGACACCGTCCAGATGCCCATGACCGTGTGCACCGCCTGCTTCTTGGCATTGCTCAGCCTGGCATGGGGTGGGGGTGGGACAGAGGGACCCGGGGTCACTCACGGGGTCCCCACGGAGGATCTGCACCTGCCCTGGCCCCCAGTACGTCACAGGCAAGCCACAACCGGCGTGGCGGGCTTTGTCCCTCGCCCAGGGGGCACCCATGCACACTGTCACATGTCCTTCTCATCAAGCATTTCTGTAATGGACACTGCACGCCCGGGCGTCCCGACGTGTGCGCGCCCCTGCAGCCCAGAGCAGCCCCCCTGGGCCTCCCCGCAGGCCCCCGGCACAGCGCAGGTGCGGCACCCCCCACAGGGCGTGGTCCCCACGGGGGCACGGTGCAGCCGCAGCAGGCGGTCTTGGTGCGCCTGCCCGCAGGCCCCTCTCCGAGCACGGCGGCCGGTGGGGCGCCGGGAGCTCACCGGTAGTTGACGGGCCAGCGGACCATCCACATGCGGTGGTAGGACAGGGAGGTGACGGAGAAGCAGGTGGCCAGGGTGAGGGTGTAGAAGGCGGAGACGAAGACCTTGCAGAGGCCCTCGCTCCACTCGTAGTCGGCACGCTGCCGCCGCAGCTGCACCACGGCGTACGTGGCGATGGGCACGGCCACGTTGAGCATGTGGGTGGCCGCGAGCGTGCACAGCAGGAACTCGAGGGGCTTCCACTTCTTCTGCTTGGCGCCCACGCTGAGGATGCCCCAGGCGTTGGCCAGCAGGGAGAGGCCCCCGCACGCCAGCCAGCCCACGGCGCTGCCGGGCGGCCGCCGCTCATCACTCATGGTGCCGACGGGAGCCGGCAGGCGGCCGGGGCATCGTCCTCGGGGCCAGGCCGCGGCGTGGGGCAGCCGCACTCACACCGGGTGGCCCAGCGACGCCTGGGGCCACGACCATCTGCAGGGGGTGAGAAGCCAAAGAGGGGCTCAGTGACACCCTCAGTCGCAGCTCCGGGGCTCCTGGGGTGGGGGATGGGCGGGAACCCCCAGGCTGCCGTCACCCGTCCGGCCCTGACGGGGGCAGGGCTGCTCCACTCTCTGAGACCTCCTGTCCACGTCCCTGGCATCTCAGGGAGCGTACACGGAGGTGCCTACTAAGTGCGTTCCCTTGCTCCCACCCATGCCCGGTGCAGATGAGACGTGCAAGCTGCGCCTTCAGGAAACCAGCCAGGCTGGGCCCAGACAGGCCTTCTTGTGCCTCGGGCCCTGGCCCTGCCCAGCCGCCAGCCCTGTCACCGGCACCTGCCCCCACCCCCCAGGCTGGCCCTTGCAAGGCTCCCCCAGGGCATCCCGGGGGCCCTCAGCGTAGCTTGTCCCACTTCCCTGGGCAAAATGGGGTGTGCCTGGGAGGGTGAGTCCCCTAACCCTCCCCCGTGAGGTGGGGCTGATGGTGACCCCTTCCATGCCCACCCTGGAAAGGGCGGCCCCCAGCCGGCCTTCCACACCCCGGAGGGCCCCGCACTCCCCGTGCTGGGGGGTCACACTAAGCATTCTGGCTGCAAGGTCCGAGCAGGGTCCCTGGGCTTGAGTCCTGCGCTGTCTTGGGCCCAGGATGCTCCTTCCTGGGTGGCAGGGTGGGCGGGTCTCACACACAGTGGGTGCTCCGGGTGGTGATCAGCGTTACGCTGCAGGCACCTCGGGCATCATGGGCGCCCCTCCCAGGCACAGCCCAGGGCCCAGACCTCCACCCAAGGAGGACGGCCGACAGCCAGTGGGCAAAGGTGCTGGGCAGGAGGCGCGTGTTGGGGGGGTGCCCATCCTGCTGGAGGGCCGGACAGTGAGTCCCCGGCCCCCATTTCCCAGCCTGGCTTCCCTCAGCTGCCTCTGTGGGGACTGGGGCCACTCCCTCTGAGGTGGGCCCCCAGGACAGACCCTTCGGGGCAGCCTGGCGCCGTCAGTGCGGGGAGATGCTGACTGTGCGCTCTGCCTGCACGTGGCCCTTCTCGCCCAGGAGCCTGTGCAATCTCGCGGGCTGCGCTTCTGCTCCACTTGAGCGGTGGCCACGTGATCCCTCAGGGACCCACGTGGCCACGTGTTTCCAGCTGTGTGTGGGGGGGGTGGCTCACAGGCCACCGCAGGACTCTGGCACTCGGGGCAGAGGACTCAGCACCTCCCAGCACAGCCAGGGCCCTAGGCCTGTCTTGCCCGAGGTTCTTACTTGGGTCTGCCTGTGGCCCGAGCCCCTGGACATGGAGGGGCCTCTGAGTCTGAGGGGCGTGTCTCACCCACCTCGATGTCTCTGCTGGGGGCCCACCCAGACACCTGGCCTGGGGGAGGAGTCCATTCCGGAGCACTCCTTAAGGTCCTCCTCGGGGGCTTGGGGGACTTCTGGGGCAGGGGACTTCCTTCTCAACCATGCTCGCAGAATGGCCTTCCCTCCCCCACCCCAGACCCAGTGTGGCAGGTGGGGTGGCCCTGTCAGACCCTCCAACCACCCATTCTGGTGTCCAGCAAGCATCCCTGACCTCAGCATACTGAGTCACACCATGTGGGATAAGAGCTGCTGGGCTCCCGCCCCCCCGCCCCCCCCCCCCGCCTGCCAGGGACCTGACTCAGCGGGGCCTCATCTGTCTCATCTGCAAGCTGGACACGACCGTGTGCACCTGCTGCTGCTGGTCAGTAGGTTTGGCCGGGGAAGTGCTTAGAACGGGGCTGGCACACGGTAAGTGCACACCTTGGGCTTGTCACCCGGGGGTCCGCACCGAAGTCCTCCCAGCCCGCGGAGCTCCACTGCCTCTCAAGGGCTAAGGCGCCACTTGGACTTGTGGGTGGACCTTGGACCTGCCAGTGGACACGGTCTCCCTGGCCAGCAAGCACTCGGGACAGCTCAGCTTTGGGGGTGAGGAGGCCACGGGGCTGCCCCAGCCCCGCAGGGTGCCTGGCAGCCTGCTGGGGGGCCAGGGCAGGCACAGTGTGGGCGCCCTGCGGGCTGAAGGCTGCAGACACCAGTGATCCTTGAGTTATCCAATAGGACACTGGATTCGGCGTGCACCTGAGGGGCCGGCAGCTTTTCCCACCTGTACTGGGCCCCCTCAGCCAGCAGATGGGGAGGCCTTCCCTGAGATGCCCCAGGAGGGTGTGTGAGCCACGACCCTGGGGCGGGGGGCGGGGGGCGGGGAGAGGAGCCACGGGCTGCCACTGGGTGCAACCCCTCACGAGCCGGGTGCTCCCCTCGCTTAGCGTCTGGCACCTCCCTGCAGGACAAGGGGAAGGTCTGCAGGCCCGGGACCCCGCCCTGCGGGGGGGGAGGGAGGAAGTGTGTGTCCCCCCGCCAGCAGGTACACTGCCCTCAGTGAGCACCCCCAGGGATTTCGTGTGTCCTGGGACAATGTCCCCGTCCCCATTTTAAAGACGGTCAGACAGAGGCAGAGAAAAGCAAAGCCATTTGCCCACGCTGTCGTGTTTGCCTGACAAAAAACCCTGGCCTCTCACACAAACCAACTCCCACCCGCTCGGGAACAAAGCATTCTTTGTCCTTCTAGCTACGGTGGTCTTTCTGAGCCTCCCACCCATGCAGGGTGGGCCCGACTGGCCCCACTCCGCAGAGAGAAACGCGGAGGCACGGAGCCCAGCGCAGAGCACCGAGGGAAGCGCCGGCCGGTTTAGGGCCCAGCCCCCGAGTGGGGCGGTTCTGGGGAGGGGGACAAACGCCCCTGGAGCGAGCCTGGGGAGCGTGTACACCGAGGTCTGCAGACTCAGAGGGAGAGGGGGCTGGGTCTGTGGGAGAAGGGCTCCCGCCTCCTGCGGGGCGGTGACCGCAGGTCACACCTGCTGTTCTTTCTCCACGGACAGCGGGTGCCTGGGGCCGGACCCCAGGCTGGGCTCCCTCCCCTGAGGCCCTCCCCCTGGGCATCGCGCCCCGCAGCTGGAAAGTTTCTCCTGCCTCCCACTCCACGCATCCGCACAGCCTTTCGGGATGGAGATGCCCCACCCCCCGCGTCAAAGAGCAGGATGCAGGTGTGACAGGCCCGGGGCCCACGAGCCCGGAAGACTCCCTCCGCAGGGTCTGCGGGCGGGGCCCTGGCGTGACGTCACGGCCTCCGGCCAATGGGGCCACGCGGCCCCAGGGCTCGATTGCGCAACAAAGAAGACCCAGAACTTGAAAGGATTCCCCGGGCTCGGCTCGCCGCCCCCAGGCTGCGCTCGGACCGCGGCGCCCGGGCGCCCAGCACCGACGATCGGTCCCCTGAGAGCAAGGCCTGGCCGCTGTCCAGGGCGGGGCTCGAAGCTCCGAGCCTCGGTGTCTCCGGCACGCCCCCCGCCCCCTCGGTCCCCGCTCCTGGGTTCTCCATTCCCCCGCCGGATCTCGCCTGCCGGTCCAGCCCCAGCGGGCCCCCCAGCCCTGCCCAGACCCGAGGGCGCGTCTAAGTGACGGCTGGGGGAGCCGGACCAGAGCGGGACTGCGGTTCCCAGAGGCCCCCGCGGGCTACGCTGGGCAAGGGTGGGCGTCCCCAGAAGGGCCACCTCCGCCCGGTGCAAGCAAGACCCTGGGGCGGCGCTGCTAAGCCCGGAGGCTGGGGGAGGAAGGAAGGGACTAGCCCCGGGGAAGTTACTCCAAAGGTCCCCAAGTTGGGGGGTGCGGTGCGGGCGGCAGCCCTAAGCGGTGCCCGAGGCCCCTGGGACCGACGCCGCGACCCACAGACCGTGGGCAGCCCCTCCCCGCCCAGAAGTCCTCGCCCCCGCTCGCCCCCGAGCCAGGGCGCTGCTCTCACCGCGCGTTCGCGAGCCCGGGGCTCCTGCTCGCTGCTCCCGCCTCCGGCTCCGGCTGTGGCTCCCGTGCTCCCGGGCCGAGCGCGGGTCTCCAGGGACCGAGCGAATGGCTGGCAGCGGAGCGGCCCGAGGGCCGGAGCATCCTGACAGCCGCCGCCGGTGGCCGGCGCGCCCGTTCGGCTGGGTTCGGCCCCGCCGCCCCTCCCTCTTTTCCCCCCTCCCCGCGCGCGCCGCCGTCACCACCGCGCTCGGCTCGCGCCGCCCGGCTGGCTGAGCCCCGCGGCCGGAGGCGGGGGGCGGAGCAGGGCGCCTGCCTCCGCGGGCGCCACCGCGCCGCCCCTCGGACCGCCTCGCCCCCCCCCCCACCAGGCGCGGCCCGCCGTGGCCGTCCGTCTGAGTGTCTGTGGGTCCGCCACCCCTCCCACTAGCGCCACGGGGCTAAAAGCCCCCCCAGGGAGACCAGTGCCTCCAAAATCACCCAGATAACGCCGTGGGCCCTTGCTGCCCTCTTGGGTCGGTCCACACTCCCCCTACGCCAGCTCTGACCCCTCCTGAGAATGACCAGGGCCTGGAGCAAAGAGGGCCTGCGACAGGAATGGGCAGTGGGGACCTAGGACCGGGGGCGGGAGGCTCGGGAGGCCTTCCCAGAGGAAGCCACAGCTAAGGGGAACAGTGGGGCAGAGGTGGAGAGCAGCCAGTGGGGGCCCTGAGAACAAGCAACTTCTAGGAACCAGGGAGTCCTTCTAGGAACCGGCCAGACACCGGGCAGGGAGAGGGGAGGCAGGGCCAGTGAAGGATTCAGACCGTCCTCTGGCATTGGGGGGTCCACTGTGGGAATCAGGGGAGTGGACCGGGGCCTCCTGAGTGGTTGTCTCCCTTTCCAGTTCCACTCTGAAATATTCTCAAGCTGGGACCACAGCCACGCAGTTCTTGAGGGGAGACGCAGGCTGGATTCCAAAGGCTGGGGGACATCAGGGGGGACAGCCGTTAGTGCCCTTGATAGGGCCTCCGGACACCCCTTGAGTCACCAGAGCGGCCACGGGCATCCTGGCCTCCTGTCCAGGTAGAGGACCCCACCTGCCTCTTCCAGGAAGCCCGTGGCCGCCCACGCCCTGAGCACAAGGCCTCCACGGTCACCTCGGGCTGCCCAGCTATGCACGGCCCTGCCCACGCAGCGGGGGGGAGTGGGCACCCCCGTGTCTGGGATGGGCAGCACCTGCCCGGGGCAGGACTTCACCGAATGTGGCCGCTGCCATTTGCACTGCTCCACAGCCGGCCCCTGCCCCCCGACCCCCACACCATCTCCGCACCCCCCCTCGAGCAGCTGCAGAGCAAGGAGTAGCAGCTTCTGGGGGTCCCGGGCGGGGGAGCTTGGAGCCGGTCCTCTGAGACAGAAGTGAGGGTGTTTGTGCAGAGGGGCTGCCCAGCGAAGCGTGGCCGGTGGAGGGGGAGGGAGCTATGCACGCCGTGTGTGTGTGTGTGTGTGTGTGTGTGTGTGTGTGTGGCACCTGGGAGGACAGGCCCGCTCCCTGTCCTGGTGACCCCAGTTATAAATAGGCCACCAGCAGGAGGAGGCCAGTAAGCTTGTGCAGCATTTGCACGGCAGACAAGATGCAGCCGCCTGGAGCCGTGGGCCGTGCCCCTGCCCCAGGCCTGGGGCCTCCAGGGCCCGCCCCCCAGCCCCCCAGCCCCGCTCTGTCCAAGGGTGTCCCTGCCCTGGGCCCTGAGGGGCGAGTGCTGTGCTAGCCTGGGCTCCCCCCAGCTGCCCTGAGAGCTGCACTTCAGGTGCCTGACTTGCCCGGAAGCCACAGAGGAGTGGTCCGGCCGAGGCTGACCTAGGGAGTTCGGGCCAGGGCCCATCTCCTTACGGAGGACGTCGGTGCCCGGGGCCGGCCTGCCTGCCTGCCTCCCTCGAGGGGTCCTGGAGCTCAGGCCCCCTGGGGCCTGTGTGGCCAGCTGCAGTTCCACAGGCCTTGGTGTGGCTGGCCCGGGCTGCCTGGGGAGACCTCTCTGCTCCCGGCCCAGGGCACTGCCAGTCTTCCGGAGGCTGGCACGGGGTATGGGTGGAGGTGGGGAGGTCTCCAGGGGGCCGAGGGGCGCACTGGGGCTGCTGCGGCCTCCTTGGCGAGCCGTTCCCTCCTCCTGCTCCCAGGCAGGAAATAACCCCTCCAGCCGCCACCGGGGCCCCAGGCAGATTCCGGAGCTCTTGGCGGGTGTCTCCGCACATCTGGAGCTGGGCTCCCTCTCCGGCCCGAGGGGGCCCGAGGGAGGCGGCTGTTGGCGGCCAGCATCCGTCTCCTGGCTTTATTTTCGGGACGAGCCTGAGTGGGGAGCACTCTCCCAGGCCCCGTCCCCAGGTGTGTGCCTGGCGGAGGGGTCTTTCTCAGCTGCAGGTGAGGCCGGCCCCTGCAGTGGCCTCGAAGCTGCGGGACCGGATGCACACGGGGCTCGCGTGCACACCAACGCACACCCACACGACCCTTACTGACACACCGCCCCTCAGACCCCTGCCCCACAAGCCCGGCCAACAAGCCCCTCTGCTGGAATGGCTGGGGGGGATTTCCCATCAGGCCCAGCCCCGGCACCGGCCAGGAGGCTCCTGTGCAGAGTCCTTGCTTCTTGCTCTTGAGAGGAGAGCTGAGGCGTGGGGGACACTTCCAGCGGGAAGAGGCCCCCTTGAGCTAGGTCCCCGTCTTCTGTGCACCATCTCCCTGCTCCTCACAGGCAGCCCACCGCCAGCCACCGCCCTCGGGAGGCCGCACAGGCTCCGGGCTGCCGTCCTGCAGTAGCCAGGCAGAGGGCACTGGGGCACTGGGCGGGGCCCTAGGGCCAGGACACAGGAGCAGGCCCCAGGGGGCGGGGTGCTCCCTCCAGCCAGCAAGCCGCCAGGCACACCCGGGTGGGCACTGCCAGGCCCGGGGCTCTGGGGCACAGGAACCGGCAGCCAGAGGGGGAGGGGCGGGGCCCGGAAAGGGCGAGCCCGTGGGAACTCCCGGCACAGAAGACCACGCAGCCTGAGGTCCAGCCAAACAGCAGCTTTATTAGCGACACTGGAGTGTTCGAGGACCGCACGGTGGCCCCGGGACCGCGCCCCGGGCCCCAGGGACCGCCGCCGCCGGGGGTCGGGGGCAGTGCCGCGCAGCACGGGCACGCGAGTGACATAAATAAAGCTTTGGTGTGAGGTTTCCGGGGGGACGGGCTAACACTGTGGGACGAATACTGCACACAACACCAGCTCTCAGCGTGGATCGGGTTTGTGGCCAACGGGGTGACGACTCCTAGGTGGCGAGGTGCAGGCCGCTCCCGCCGCTCGGCCCGGCTGCGGGGGGCGGCACCTAGGGCTGCGGCTCCGCCAGGCCCTGCCGCTTCGCCTTCATCTGCAGGTACCGCCCTTTGCCCTCCTCGAAGCGCTTCTTCTCGTCCTCCGTCTCAGGCTGCAGGGCACACACACAGGCAGGCAGGTTAGGCACTCTCAGAGCTCGGGGCTGTGGGCCCCACCCCGGCTGCCCGGGCAGCGCGATGCCGCCGGCCCACGGACCGCTGCGAGGACCAGGGCCCTGGCCCCTCTCCATCCACCCCTGCCTCAAATAGGCAACAGCCAGCGCGGCCAAGAGTACAAGGTCAAGGCCACGAGGGTAGGATAGCAAGGAATGTCTCCCCGTGTCCCCGGTGGGGCTTGCTTTGGTGCTGCCGAGGAGATGCGGGGCTCCCGTCCTTCCCCAGCGGCCAGAGGCCGCTGCTGAGCAGAGCGGCAGGGCTGGCCCTGGCTCCGGGGAGGAGAAGGGGCCGTGACACCCGCTGCTAACACCCAATTGGGGGAGAGAAGCCGGGCGCCAAGGCCCAGCTCATGTGCGCCTGCCCGTGGGCTGCCCGGGCTGGGGGTGGGGTGGGCGGGGGGCGGCTCAGGGCGCAGCGGTTTTCCTCCTGGTGGGCAAGAACGTCCGTTCTAGAGCTGACCGCGGTGAAGGCGGTCGGAGCTCTGCAGCTGCACGCGAGCCCCCCCCCAAGGCTCTCCGTCACCGGCCGAGCGCTGCGGCCTGCAGCTGTCTCAGTAAAGCTGCTCTAACCCGAGGCCACGGCGGGGGGTGAGCGCGCCTCCCCGCAGTTCAGGGCGCGTCGGAGAGGGGGTTCGGGTGCCGGTGCCCACCCCCAAACCCCGGCACACGAGGGGCTGCGGGGTGGGAGAAACCTCTCTCGGTGAAACCAGGCACTGTCTGCCCCCTTGGCCCCGCGGCCGCGCCTCGGCCCCCCTCCCTCCCCGCCCAGCCCGGGAGCACACAGGACCCCCCCCCCACCCACTGCATGAGCAGGCACCTATGGCCCCCGCAGCCGACCCCCTAGCTGGCAGCACACCCAGGCCAGGCAGGCTGTGTGCACGCGGGAGGGTGACCGCAGCGTGGCCGGACGGTGAAGTGTGGCAGCGCCAGAGGGTCGAGGGGGCCAGGTGCGGGGAGGGTTCCTGGGGAGGCCCTGACCCACAGGCGGCCCCCAGGGCCCTGTGTCGACAGCAAACCGCAGGGCCGGTGCCCACAAGAGAGACCAAGCCACCCCCGGGGCGGCTTCCTTGGGCTTGGGAAAGGGCAGAGGGCTGGGGGTCCGGGACGGCTGAGGGCCAGCCCCCGGGCAGCCCCGGGCAGCCCCTTCCACCCCATGCCTGCTCCTCGTCTGCAACGTGACGAGAGTCCGTCCGTCCCTCCCGGGATCTGTGGGCCTGAGCCCAGGGAGAGCGCCCACGCCGCCCCAGACGGGGGCTCCAGCAGGCGGTGCCCCCCTTGGCCAGCAGACAATGTGCCGCCGGGGTGACCTTCGGGTCCCTTCTAGCTCCCGGGGCCACCCAGCCCAGGGGGACGCCGTGCCAACGGCCTGGTGCCGGGAACGCAGCCCTGTGGGGAGGCCGGAGTGCAGCCCGCCGTTAGGAGCAAGGAGCCCACCGATCGATGGCCAGGAGCCATTATCTCCGTGGAGACGACCTGTGACCCGAGAGCCTGGCGCACGAGGGAGGTCAGCCCGGGGCGGCGGCCGCACGGGAGTCGTGCTTCAGGGTGCTCCTGCGCAGACCTGAGGGGTCCACAGTCAGTGAGAGAGGAGACCGGGCCTGGCCACGAGCACAGCCGTGGCCCAGGGAGCCCCGGCCCCTCCCCCACCGCACGCACACCCGACACCAGCTTCGGGGTGAGGGGCGGGCACGAGGGGGCACCCGTGCAGGGGCAGCACGGTGCTGGGAGCAGGGTGCTGGGTCTGGGGGTGAGCGAGGGGTCCCAGGGACCGTGGGGGCCGAGCCGGTGCGGGGGGCACCTCGCTGGTCTCCCCCTGGCCCACCTGTTCCTTGGGCGCAGCCGTGACGACGCGGCCCAGCAGAGCTCCCCCAAGCTCATCCGTCCTCTGGGAGGGCCCGAAGGTGGGCTGTCCCCCAGATCTCCCCTCCCCTCCGCTCCCCGCTCAGCCCTCAGCACTGACAGGCCGCCCGGGTCCCAGATGGGCGACTCAGACGGGCGCCCCAGAGGCGGGCAGTTCCTGTCCGGGCTGCCAGCAGCGGGCGGTGCACACTGTCAATCCGCACGTCCGCTCAGTGTGGGGGAGATGCCGGTGCCCAGCACGGGCCTCTCGGCTGCCTGATGCGGCTCCGACGCCTGACACCCCCCTGCTGCTCGCCGTCCAGCCCCGGCCGGTGGGGCTCAGCCGGCTGGGGCGTTGCTCCATCGCCAGGAAGGCTGAGGGGCTGGTTCCCAGCCAGGCCCATGCCCAGCTCGGGAACCTGTGAGAGGCAAGGACGGACGTTTTTCTCCCCCTCCCGTCCCGTCCCGTCCCCTCTCTCTCAAATCCAGAAGCGTGTCCTTGGGTGGAGCAAGGAACAACTGACCCTGTCTAGTGATGGGTTGGGCCGGCTGGACAGCGCGGCCGGGGAGGAGGGGGCCAGCCGAGGGCGCAGCAGCGCACGCTGGACGTCCCGGGGAGCCCGGCCAGGCCCCGGGGCAGGGCCCGGCTGGCGTCAGGGCGTCGGGCGCCCACCCTGCGAGGACGGCCTCTCAGGGCGCTGACGGCCCTCCTCGCCCGGCTGCCCCGGATGGCGTCTGGCCAGGCCAGCTCACGGAGACGGTCAAGGGCAGCGAGGCTTCCGCTAACGCCTGCAGGGCCGGGGTGGCCGCCCCACTCTCGGTGGCAGCGGAGTCCCTGCCGAGTGGCTGTAAACAGTGCTGCCAGCCAAGTGACTGAGGGGGGCCACCGCTTCCCTGCTGGGCGCGGAGCGGACGCGACAGATGGCCCCCCGCACGCCGCCCCACCCACGGCCCAGCTGCCGACTCCCAGCGCCCGTCTCCCTCCTTCCGGCAAAGTAAATAAATACGTGAGTTGTTGGCTGTTGCTGTGTTTCCAGCCGGGGGGTGGAGGCGGCGGGGGGCGGGGAGCTCTGCGGTGGGAAGTCGCTTCTTCCTCCAAGGGCCTGGGGCCGAGCGCAAGGAGAGGAGCCGGGGACCAGTGGCAGCTGCCCCGACAGTCCCGGCAGGGCCACGGCCGCGGGGGCTCCCCCGAGCACAGGTCAGGGAGAAGAGGCGACAGCCACGGGGGACGCAGGCAGCTCAGGGAGTGGCGACCCAATTCCCCAGGGCGCAAGCAGGAGGAGCCGCCTGCCGGGGGGCGGGGGGACAGTGGGGGTGCGGCGAGGGACCCCAGCTTTGGGCCGCAGGGACCTGGCCGTGCGGCTGCAGGGGCGCTGCCTGCCTTCCCAGGGCCGCTGCTCCCGCCCGTGCGACGAGGCTCAAGCAGGTGACGGGGCGAGATGCCTTCTGCAGCCGCACACGCGGTCCCGGTGCGTGCATGTGCGTGTGCGTGCGTCCGCATGGGGCCCCTGTCTCCGACCCACAGCACAGCCCTGGGCGGCGGGCGGCGCGGCGGGCAGCTTCGGGGGACAAGGCCTCCGGAGCTTCGCATCCACCGCGGGGACAGCAGGGTGACGGGCGGCCCCTCCCCCCCTCCCCTCGCGCTTCCGGCCGCCTGCTGTCTCCTGGGCCCCGCTCCACCCGGAGGCGGCCCGCGGCCTGCGGAGCCCAGCGGTGCAAACCGAACGTTTCCCGTTCCCCGTTTTCGGGGCTGTGAGGACACCCTTTGGGCCCTGGCACAGAGGGGGAGCGACTCAGTCCCACCCGCGGTGAGGTCGATAGCTCGTCCTTTCAGTGACAAACGAACGTGCAGTGCGAGCAGTTTCCAGGGGCAATGTGACGGCCGCGAGCCGGAGGGACGCCGACCGTCCTCCTCGCCAGGCGGCCGCACGGTGCGCCCTGTCCGTCTTCTGAAGGGGGACCGGAGGAGTCCGGGGGCAGTCGCACAGCGATGACGACGTCTTCCGGTCACCGGGGCGCCGAGCCCAGTGGGGTGCGGCCGGGACCCGGGAGACCACACTCTGTGGAGCCGCCGGGGACCTCGCCGTCCTGTGGGCTCCCAGTGGCCGCAGGCCTGGGCTCACGAGCCCTCGATGTGCCCGCAGGGGGGTCGCCAGGGCAGGCGGAGCCCACGTCCCAACCACAGGACTGCGGTGAGGGCAGAGACAGCCTCGCCAGGGGCTCCCTTCGTCCAGCAGCACCAGCTCAGCCCCCAGACAACCGCCCGAGAGAGTGCTGAGCCCTTCCCGGGGCAGGGCCCGGCCACATGAGCCTGTGGCCCATCTATGGCTAGCACCGTGCCTGGGGCAGCTGGGGGGGTGGCGTGCAGGCTGGGAAGCACTGGCTACGTGAGTAGACGGTCAAACAAAGGAAGACCAGGCAGGAAAGCCTCAACGCCACATGGGTGTGGTGTCTGTGCTAACGATTCAAAACCAGTGGTTTGGCTCAGGAAGACACCCACTGCGGCATCGCCCGTGCCCACCCCCCCGAGGCGGCCACAGCATGGCTGCAGCCGCCTGCCGGCACCACACGGGGCCCAGCCCAGCAGTGCCCCTGAGAGCCGGCCCCTGGGTTCTCTCATCCTGGAGGAATCGGAACAGGGAGGAGCGGCGTGGACTCCCAGCCGCGCCGCCCAAGCAGCAGGAGGCCGATGCCCCACGTGCAGGGGCTGCCACCGCTCTGTCCTGCGCTGGGTGGCGAGCCCCCAGAGCCGTCTCTGCAGAGACGCTCACGGGGTGGTTTTCGAAATGCCACCCGTCCTGGCAGAGCGGCCAGCGGGAGCCGCCGGGGACTCAGTGGGTCTTCAAGGGGCGTCTGTGCCCCGGACAAGCCGAGCTGGTCAGAGGACCGGCCTGCGCTCCCAGGGAGCCCAGGTTGGGGCCGGGCCAGCGGGGATGAGGTCTCGTCCACGGCCACGTCCACACTCCCCGTGGGGGCCACGCCCTGGAAGGGCTCGGAGCTCCGGGGGCGGCGTCACGGGTGGGACGGCCCCCGCGCCCGCCCGCTGTGCACACTTCCTCCTCACGCCAGGCCAGGACACGGCCCCCGCCCCTCGCACCTGCCGGGGGCCCTCGGGGCTGTGGCAGCCTCATCTGGACCGGGGACAGGCGGCAGGTGCTGGGCCCAGGGTGGCACCTGCTTCGGCTGCGACAGAACGCGGTCCTCACGTTTTTCCTGGAGACGCAAAGGGCCCCCACACCTGGGCCGAGTGAAATAAACCCCCACCGCCGGGGGTGCCAGGTCCCCAGGGAGACACCTCGACGGTTTCCGCATGTCCCTTCGCACGAGCCACTTTCCAGCCCTGGTCAGAGGAGGTCTGGGGTGTCTCCCCACCCCTGAGGTCAGAGGGCACGACCCCAGGGAGGCCTTCAGAGGGAGGCAGGGCTGGCGGCCTGGCTCACACTCCGCGTTCGTCCCTCCTGGTAACTAGCCGGGAAAGGGCCAGCGGCCCTGGGCCGCGGCACAAAGGCCCTTCCCAGCATAAAATATTCATCAAGAAATACTCCAAACTGCAACGCCGCCGCCTCCCGTGTCAGCCGGCCCCAGGGACGGGAGCTAAAAATAGACAGGAGGCCGAAGGACCGCCAGCAGAGGGCCAGTAGGGAGGGGGGGAGGGCTGGGCCCCACCCCGGACACACACACACGGGCCTCACAAAGCACATGTGTGCTCCAAGACACGGACCACATGCGTGTCAGCACCACGGAGGCCGGGGAGGAGCTACACGCCCAGCTCTGGGGCGTGGGCCATCCTCCCCCACCCGGGAGCTATTTTTATCAACCCTGGTGGGCGCCAGGGCACCGCGGCGGAGAATCAAAGACCGTCTTTAAGTTGGTGAGAAACCGCAGCCTGGACCGACATGGAGCTGGCTCGCCGGCGGGCCGGTGCGGCCCCTGCCACCCGGGGGACCCAGTCCCCAGAGCCTTCATTGGAGGTGTCGGCCCCGACCCCCCCGCCCACCGTGCCCAGCACCTCCTCCCGCTCCGGCCCCCATCCCAGCTCGCACGGATGGGCCCAGCCCAGCGCGGCTCCCGGGCTCCGTGAAGGACGCGGGTGCCCCACACTGGGCGCCCTGACCGCAGGCCGCTCCGTGGGAGCCCGGACCCCACGGCACCAGGCCCCCCGCCCGGAGCCCCTGACCCACCGGGCCGGGGTCCGGGTCTCCCGGCTGCCGAGTTCTGGGGGGTGTGGCAGGGGCAGCGTGGCAGCTGCTGGACTCCCAGGCTGGCACCCCTCCCGGGCACGACCAGCACCACAGTCAGGGCCCAGGACTCAGGCACCACATTTACTCAGTAGCAGCCTTTCCAAACAAACACATCTCGGCCCCTCGGCAACCTTTGGTCTTTCACCCACTTGGGGGGCCCCGCAGGCCCCGCTCTGTATCAGCTGGGCGGCCTCAGGTGCCTGGCCGCCCCCTTCTCTTTAGTCCCCCCCCCAGTGTCTGCGGTCCCTTCCACCTGGGTGGTCCTCAGAAACGGCTCCCTCTCCCCCCAACTCCAGGGCCAACTGGAATGCACCCTTTTCATCTCCGTAAAAGGAACTTATTTAAGTTTCAACTGCCCTCCTCTCAAAAACACCCCCGTCCCTGACCTCCTGCCCTGCCCCTCTGCCACCACCTAACAGGCTCTGCATTCCCCCTGGCAGGGCCCGAGTGCTCGCAGGAGGGTCTGAGCAGAGGCAGTGAGGGAGCCCCCGACGGCACTCGGTTCCTGCCCCCTCGCCCGCCCTGGCGGCGCGCACAGACGCGCAAACCGAGGCCCAAGGGAGCGCCGGCCCCCCGATCACAGACCAGAGGACGGTGCGTGTGGCCCGACAGCACGGGCTGGGTGGGGGCTGGGGAGCGGACGAGGCCGGTGTGGCTGGGCCCATGCCGAGGGTAGTTCCAGCGGGGGCAGGAGTGGACCCGAGTTCGCTGGAATGAACTCAGCGGCGGCAGCGCCGTGCTGGGTCTCGGGCAGAAGGGGTGCAGGACAGAGGGTGGCCGGGGGCTGGGGGCTGAGCGGGGGACCCAGCCGCGGGGACGGGGAGTTACAGACACCAGGCGTGGGGCTGAGCAGGGTCAGGAGCCGGCCAGCCAGTTCCCAGGCTCACGAGGCCCAGGACACTCGAGGAGGGGAAATTTTTTCCCGGGGGGACGGTGTCGGGGGACACAGTGAGCTCGGTCTGGGACAGACCATGTGTGAGGCGCCGGCAGGGGCCCATGAGCGGGGCGGGGCTGGCCAAGTCGGCGCGGAGTGGGCGTCTGGAGCGGGGCCCGGCCCGACCGCCCGGGGCAGGAGCAGAGCCCGGGTCAGGGGCGCGCAGGCAGCGCCCAGGGCCAGCGAGTCCTGCCAAAGGCAGGGAGGGCTGGCGGGACACGGACGGAGTGTCCGGGGCCTGGCCACCCTGCGAGAGCCAGAGGCCGGGAGGAAACGGTCAAGGACTCCTGTGGGTGGTGGGACTTCAGTCTGCAGGACAGAGGGGTTGCGGGGGGGGCGCAGCCTTGCCAGCAGACGCCCCTGAGGGTCGTGGTGACAGCATGGACTGAGATGTGACAAGGGTCCGGGAGAGACCCCAGCAGGCCTGCGTCTGAGGGCAGGCAAGGTTCCGAGAAGTGGTCCAAGACCCGGAGAGACGCGGTGCGAAGGTCGTGGCCAGGGGACTGCATGAGCACCAGCCAAGGGGATGGGGTGGGGGGGGGGGCATCCCACCAAGGCTGCTGGGTGGTGGGGCAGGAAGAGGAGGGGCCTGTGGGACAGGCGCCCTGTCCTGTGGCAAGGCAGACCCCAGGCAGCCCCCCACCCACCGGGCTCGCAGAGTGACTCCAGCCTGGAGGGGAGCTCAGGGGGAGGAAGGAGCCTCTGACAGGAGGCAGGTGAGGGGCGGGCGCTGGAGGGGGAGGGGAGGCTGAGAGTGTGGGCCCAGCCCGACGGGAGAGCCCAGGCGCCAGGCAGGGTGAGGCGACTCAGCAAGTCCAAGGTTCACGGGGAAGGACCCAGAGCAGCGCTGGCCAGGTGACAGGCAGGTGTGAGACGCAGCGGGCCCCTGCCTGCCTGAGGAAGGCTCCTGGCTCTCGCCTCCCCTCCTTCCAACCTGCTGGAACCCCTTATCCTTCAAGGCCTGGCTCACACCCCTCCTTCGCGCAGCCCTGGCCCCCACGGTCTCAGGAGCTGCCCCCTGACGCACTGGAGCCCCAGGAAGAGCAAGAGGAGGAGGGGCAGGGGCAAGAGAGGGCCCTGCAGCAGCTGAGGCTCCTCCAGCCAGGCAGGGGCCTCACCGCTGCGCAGCCTTGGGATGCCCGTCGGCCCGCCCACCCCGCAGGGCCTGCTGAGGCCCCAGAAGGAGCAGGGGTGGGTGAGCGTCTCCAAGGAGGCTCCTCGGGGGTGGGGGGAGCATGCCAGGTTGTGGGGATTCTGGCTCCCAGGCCTCTCAACACTGCGCCCAGTGCCCCGCCCCCATCTTCCCGGGGCCCCGCCCACGCCCTGGCCGCACCTCACCCGGGCTGCCAGCTGCGAGGCCACCTGCCAGGTGCACGCCCGGCTCCTCTGCGCACCCACACGGCCCGACTCCTCCCAGACTTGGCCGAGCCTTGCACACAGTGGGACGCACGCATTTTTTCCAGACAGCTCCCACTAAGTGCCAAGGCTGTTCCAGGCCCTAGCGGCCCACTAGGAGCAAACACACTCCAGGCCTCAAAGCTCGGTCCAGGGGGCGGACGGACTACTGGCCGCTGATCAGCTGCCCCAGGTGTGGGGTGTGGGGTGTGGGGCGTGGGGTGGGGCCCTGGAGAAAGCGGGGCAGGGATGAGACCGGAGGGCGACCGGGGCGCCCTGATGGGGGTGGAAACAACTCCTCTGAGGAGGTGACGTCAGGCCCGGACTGTGGGGCCGATCCGCCCGAGGGCGGCCGGCGGCCCGAGCAGGGCAGCGGCGGCTCCCCGTGTGGCGGGAGCAGGCTGGGCGGGCGGCAGGGACCTGGGTTTTACGCTGACGCACCAGGAGCCCCGAAGCTCCGGGCAGGGCGGTGACCGGACCGGACAGTTGAAGGAGGCGGCGCCGGGCGCTCTGAGGAACGTGGTGGGGCAGAGTGAGGGAGGCGGGGACCGGGGAGGCTGTGGTGGTCCCGGAGCCATGCAGGCCGGGCAGCGGTGGGCATGGGGGGGCGGTGGGAGCCCAGGAACCCAGCCTTGCGTCCGCCAGGTGAGGAAGCCCCAGCAAGGCCGCCCACCCCACGGCCGTCCCCGGAGCCCCACGCCCAGGCGGCCCGAGCAGCAGCCTCGAGACCCCGTTCACCCGGGACCGAAAGTGTGGGGCGGGGGCGGGGGGTGGCTGTGACCCTCCAGGACCCCTCCCTGGGCCGGAGAGCCCCTCTCGGCACACCCAGGGCGGGGCCCGGCCAGGCGGCTGAGGAGGGCAAGGCCACAGGCCGGACGCCCCACCCCGCGGCAGTGTGGGGGTCTGGTGGGCTCAGCCGGGGAGCCCTCCCGGGGGCAGGGCCCCAGGGCGCCGAGCGCACCCCGAGGAGGGAGCGCCAACGTCGAGCCCCCGAAAGGGTCTGTCTCGTCGGTCGGTCCGGTCCCACCCCCGCGGTACCCCCCTCCCCCGCGGGCCCGCACGCCTGCCCTGCCCCTGAGGCCCAGAGGGGGCTCGGGGGACTCGGTCGGGGGGGGGGCACTCACCACGAGCTGGGGCACGGGCAGCGACCTGCCCTCGGGGCTCAGGGACACGTAGGTGAAGAAGGCACTGGCGGCCCGGTAGCGCTGGCCCAAGTCGTCCACCACGGGGTCGGCGTCCGCCAGGACCTCGATCTCCATGGACTTGTTGCTCGTGAAGGTCATGCGCCCGGAGATGGTGATGACCCACCCTGCGGAGCACGGACGGCAGGTCAGGGCCGGGCCGGGCCGGGGGGCCGGCGGCGCACCGGGGGCGTGGGAAGGCTCCCGGTTAGGCAGGGTGCGAGGTTTTAATAACTACCAGGACGCGAAACAGCGAAACGTTAGTGCCCGCGAGTGCTCGCCCGCCGGGTGGGCAGACAGATCTAATCATCTACAGAAGGCGTCAGACCTGAAGGGGTCTTGGGACTGTCCCCTGGCCCCCAGCCTGGCCGTGGGCCTGTCCCCCGGAGTGGCGGTGTCTGCTGGGAAAAGGCCTCCAGTCACTCCCGCCCCGCAGGGCAGCCCCCAACCTGCTCGCAGCCCCCGTGGCCCCGTGGGCGCTGGCTCCATCCCCGCAGCCTGCACTGTCCACGCTGCGGCCTTGCGGGCGCCCACTGGAGCCACACGGCGGCCCCCACGCTGCGCTGAGCCCCAATGGAGACCCTTCTCTCGCTCCCCAGGCCCCTCCCGGGTCCCCGAGGCTGGTCTGATAGGCTCGTGTGCTTCGGTCCGGCCAAGGGGCCAAGCGGCCACTGACTGCGGTCCCACATGCCCTGAGGCCCCATCCGCACTGCAGCCCACACGACCCGTGCTCACCAGCCACCCGCTGTCTGGGCAGGACCTGGCCAGGCCCTCCCCTGGGCGGTGCACACCTCTCTCCCTGAGACAGATCTCGCCCTGCCTGTGCTCAGAGGCCCCGGGTGCCCCCCAGCTCCCGGCGGTACCCTCCGGGGGCCAGACGAAGTCTAAAGTCCCGTGTCCCCATGACGCGGGCCCAGGCGTCCTCTCTCCCTCCACCGGAGCCGCACTCCCTGCACTCCCCTGCGCTGGGGTCAGGAGTGCCCAGCCCAGCCGGGCAGCTGCCCTCTGCCCCGGAGCCTCTCTCTGCCCCGCCCCCTCCAGGTCAGCAGGTCTCCCTGTAACCCTGCCCCTGGCTGCACAGAGTGGCCGTGGGGAGGGCACGGAATGTGCCCGGGGCTGACTCGGGATGGCCGCTGCCATCCCTGCTGCTGCCGGTTCGGACCAAGAGGCCGCCCAGGCCCTTGGGGGCCTCCAGCAAAAGGGCCGACCCCTGGCTGTGCCTCCTGCACCACGTGGCCAGACCCCCCCGCCCCTGCCCCACGCATGACCGATGCGCCACTCCGGGCCCGGCTGGAGGAAATCCCTGTCCGAGTCCAGCACGTGGCACTGGGACCCGCTCCCCACACGCAGCGCGGACTGCGGGGGCCCTTTAACCCCTGCGGGAGCCCCGGAGCCGAGGCTCCTTGGAGACAGGCCCACAGGCCCGTCCGAGAGCCCGGGAGACAGGCGAGTGGCGGGGAGGCAGTGGCGGTGACTGTTAGGGGTGCGTGGGCAGGCTACAAGCAGGAGCAGTTATTCCGGTTATAAAGTTCCAGAAGGTTCCATGCCGCATTCCGCGTCATACTTACGGGCAGCGCTTCGGGCCAGATAACCGCCATTTCTGGGGGAAGGAAGGCCACGGGGTCAAGGGCCGGCGGCGTTACGTCGGAGACACGGGCACGGGGTCCCGCGCAGAGCCCCCGGGGCGCACCGTGGGGCCTCCCCAGGCGACGGCAGAACTGGGCAGCCCCATCTGAGAGCCCAGCCCCTCAACGACCCAAGCGAGTGACCCGGCTGCCATGCATCTCCCTGCAGCCAGACGCCCCGGGTCAAAGCCCGTGGCCGGCCAGGACGACAGGGTCCCTGTCTCTGAGGGGTGAAAAGGCTGTGGTGTGGGCAGTGACTGAGGCGTTTTGGCTTTTGAAAGGGATCGCTGTAACCTGACCCGTAAGTGGCGGTGGAGAGCGGTCTCTCTCTCTTTTCAATCACAGCTTCCTGCACGTGGGGACCTTCCTCTGGGAAACAGTGACACGGCGTGACAGAGCCCAAGGGCCCCTGGGGGACACTGGCCCAGAGACAGGCCGGGCCCCCTGCCCCCCAAGCTCCTCACACACGGAGCAAGACCCGACCTGAGGAGACAGAGACGGTCTCTGCTCCCCAGGGGGCCCCAGGCCGGCTGAGCCCGAGCCCGAGGCCGAGGCCGGGACCCCCAGCCGGAGGGGCACCCCCCACCCCGTCACCTGAGGGGACCGTCTGCCCGGGACGTGTGCCGGAAACGAGGCTTCTGAAAACGAAGGCCTCCTTCTCTGCGCTCTGGAGCACGAGCAGCTCTTAGAAAAGGATCGCCTGCGAGACACGGGTGCCCACAGCGGCTGCCCCACCGTCCCCGTCCGGGCTGCTGAACCAGCCCCTAGACGCAGCGTCCCACTGGGCCCGAGCCCGTGGTCGCCCTGGCAGCCGGCCACCCCTAGGGGCTGTGGGCAGCCACGCGGCCGCACCCCCCTCCCCAGCCTCACCCTCGAGAGTGGACTCCCGTCAGGTGGGAGGGAGGGTGCACGGCCGGGGCCTCCAAGCAGCTCCTCCTCCTCCGTGACTGAGGCCGGCTCTGCACCCCTGGGAGCTGCCCCGGCGGCAGAGCGCAGCTGCCAAGCAGGACAGCGTCGGGGGACTGGCCTTTCCTTAGTGGGCAGCTCTGCAGGGGGGCAGGGGCGGGGGCGACACCGGACAGGCCGGCTCCGTGGGGCGTCCATGCGCTTTCCGCCGGGATGGGGGAGCCGCAGCGCAGCGACAGCGGCTCTCAGGAGTCGCTCCAGAAAAAGAGCCCTGGCGCCCTTTCCCCAAGTTCCCGCCGGCCCGGAGCACGGCACCCGAGGCCCCGGAGGACAGGCCGGGGTGGACGAGGCTGGCCGGTCGGGGCAGACGCCACAGCGACGCCGTGGTCCCCACCCTCGGCAAACTCCCACGGTGAAGCCCGGACCTGCGAAGCAGAGGCGACCAGGGCAGCAGGCTGTCCTTCCCCGAACCCTGCAGGCTCCCAAGTGCCCCTCGGGTGAGTGAGCTGCACTTGCTCTCCATGGCGCCGGGGCGGGGGGCTCAGTGACCCTCCACCCTCCCAATTTCAGGGGGCGTCATGCCCAGCACCCAGGCACTCAGCAGCCAGGGGTGCCCACTGGGCCCCGCTGCACGGGCCGCGGTCCCGGAGGGTTGGGCGAAGGAGGCCAGCACTGCCCGGGGGGCGGGGCGGGCAAGCCGGCACACATGGGCCCCCGCCGAGGCTCGCGCCACAGGCCAGCCCCCAAGGAGAGGAAGCATGCGCCACGAGACCTGGTGGCCACAGCCACGGCCACTGTGCGCCCCGGATCTCCGAAGGGCTCCGCTCGCTCCGTTCCTGGGGCACTTTAAAGGACCAGTGCCCGCCACTCTCGGGCAGGACAGGGCTCCAGTCACGCTAGAGTGACAGGTGTCACCAGATCGACGAGCCCTGGGCTCAGGGGCGCACCCGCAGAAGACCACACAGGACCCCGGCTTCCTGCTGCCCGCGGCCAGCGGGTGGGCGCCAGGGCCCCGGCGACCCCGGGCGGGAGCGAACGCAGAGCCAGGCAGGGCCCAGGCCGCCGCAGGCGAGCCCCAGCACTCGGCCGGCACGGCTCCATTACCTTTTCTGATCTTGTCGTGGAAGTTGATGGTGTCCACAGAGGCCGTGACTACGTTGGTCTTGCAGTGACGCGAGGCCACGATGCCGGCCACCTCATCCATAAGCTTCATGGTGACGCCTGCACAGAAAGGAGGCACAGGGCAGGTCACACCTGGGGGTGGGGGGGCGAGACTGTTTCCCACCTTGTTTTATCCCACACGAGGCATAAACCCCACTTCCCCCGAAACCCACCAGCCGGGGCCACACAGTGCGAACGTGAGGCAGGACCGAGGCCACCGGGAGCATCTGAAGGTGACCCCAGCGGATGTTCCGGGCCACTAGCAGAATGAGGACCCTTTCCCAGACCTCCACAGAGACCTCGTCCTGCCGGGAAAGTTGCGTTACGACATCCACTGAGTGGCTGCACCAAAGCCAGGCAGACGCCAAGCGCTGGTGAGAACGTGGCGGAATCAGCGCCTGGACTGCTGGGTGCGGAGAGCGGTGCAGCGGCAGCCGCTCTGGGAGCGGGGGTTTCGCAGAAGGCTACCCCAGAGTCACCACACAACTCCAGGGTTCCACTTCCGGGTACACGCCCGAGAGAACTCAAACGTGTGCACACGCTTGTACCCACATTTCACGACTGCACCTTGCACAACGGCCAGCTTGCGGAAGCAACCCGAATGCCCGCCCTCCGACGGACGGAGCAGGAAGCGAGGCCCACGGGTGCCCTCGGACGTCATTTGGCAAAAAAAAAAAAAGGGAGCCAAGTCCCGACCGGCTGCAGCACGGAGGAACCCTAGCGTGACGCTGAGAGAGAGCAGCCGACACGAGGGCAGGCCGCCGTGTGGTTTCACGTGCGTGGCGTGTGCAGACGGGCAGGCCCAGGGACAGAGCACGGGCTGCTGGCTGCCGGGGGCTGGGGTGCGGGCACGTTCTGAAGCCGACGGGGTGGCGGCCGCGTGGCTCTGCACTAAAGGTCGGCGGCTGGTAACGGGCGGCCCGCACGGCACGGGGGGTCACACCGCGGGGACGCTGCTCTGTGAAACAGCGGGACCGGGAGTCAGCTCACGGGAGGAGGCGTCTTTCAAACCCCAGGCAGCCTCTGTCGCCGGACAGGGCAAAGCCGGGCAGTCCCCTGGGTGGGCAGCCAGCCACGCGCATGTGTCAGGCTCAGCCGCATCCCCGGGCCTCAGCACACGCTACTCCGGGTGGGGGCTCACCCGCCGCGCCCTTCCCGGTCCCTCGGTCCTCCCTCCCACACAGGGGCCGTCTCCACTCTCCCCGGCCACTCACTCTGCATGGAGCCCGGCCCCGTGCCCGGTGCCGCGGAAGACGCAGAGGGCAGGACGGACCGAAGTCCCCACCCTGTGGGCCTCCAGGCCGTGGGGGTGGCGGCCCCCCAGGAGAGACGCCTGTCAGGGCGTGGTCGGTGCTCCGGCACACAGGTGAGCAGGGTCGGGGTGGGGGTCTGTCTGACACAGGTGGTCAGGAGAGGTCGCCTTTCTCCAGACACAGGAAGACAGAGCGGCAGCTGCACGGCTGCTCAGGGGACCACAGCCCGGGCAGAGGAGACCTCAGCCTGGGGAGAGAGAACCGCCCAACTGCTCCCTGGGCCCCGGAACAGAGGCGGAGGGCGGTGGGGGCGGTGAGGTGCAGATGGAGGCACCCGGGAAGACAGGTCACGGGGGCCCGGCACAGGGAGAACCGGCCCAGACAAGCACCGGCAGCCGGCAGCCTCCAGCCTCAGGGGGTCGCCTGCAGGACCCGTCAGACCGTGCGCTGCAACCTCTGGGGGAGGGGGGGACCGGAGACCAGGGGAGAGGCCCGGAGCAATGGTGCAGGCGAGAACTCGGTCCCTGAAGGTTCCGAAGGGAGAGGCCGGGGAACGGGCTGGTGAGGTGGAGCGCCCGCAGGGAGGGCTGGGAGCGGCGGGCTCGGGGAGCCGGAGAGCTCCTGTGTGCCACCAGGCTGGGGAGGGGGTGGCCGTGCCTGGGGGCCCCCGAGGAGGCGGCGGGAGCTACCTGAACCTCCGGCCGAGGGCAGCGGGAGATCAGGCGGGTCCCGGGGTGGGAGGACGGCGCCCAGGCACCGGGCGCAGGACGGAAAGGCGGCCAAAGCTGGGAGGGGCCATCCCCAGGCCTCGGGAAGGAGGGGAGGGGAGGGGAGGAGCCGGACGCCCACGGCTTCAGTCACTTCACAGGCGTCCCGACGGGAGGGGGCCTTGGGGGCAGGTGGCAGAGAGGACAGTGGAGAGGGCTGGAGGGCTGGAGGGCCTGCGTGCAGACAGCTGTCCAAGGTGCTGAGCCACAGAGCAGCGGAGGGGCCGGAGCAACAGTGGGGGCCCGGGGAGAGAAGAGGGGCCTCTGGCGGCTGCCCCTTGGGACGGTGTGTGCCTCGACAGCTGAGACAGGGGAGCCCCAGCGACCTGCTCGACAGTCACTACCCCCCGCCCCCCACTGGTCTTCCCACCGCAGTGACCCGCAGAGCCGGGCGCCCGGACCAATGCGCCAATGTCAGACCCCCCACGGGCAGCTCAGGGCAGAAACGCTTGCCCCGGGCTCCTGCTTTCTGAAGAGACAGCTGGCCAGTGCCCACGCTCACCGTGCCACGTGGCTGTCCACCACCCCGATATGCCCGGGGCAGGTGCAGGCGGGCCCCAAACTGGCCGGGTCCTCCCTGGTCTCAGAGAGTGGGGGGGCAGGGGGCCCGGGGACTTCCGGGGTGGCAGTAGGTGGTGTCCAATGCTCTCCACAGGGTGAGGGAGCGGGGTGGGGGGACCTGGTCTCTGCATTTGCTAAGACAAATGCCACCCAAGCTGGGAGTTTCGGAGGGCCCTGGGTCACCAGGACCTCCCGAACCCCAGGCACTGGAGGTGACATCATCACGGCGCCTCTGCGTCCTGAGGGAGGATGCCAGGCCAGCCAGGACACGCCTTGCACACGCATGTTCAGAGAACCGCCCTGCGCCCACGACAGAGGACAGCTCCTTAGCTCCCCTCTGTTCCCCCTCAGTAACTCCAAGGCTCGAGAGACACCCGTGTGCCCAGCGGGGCCCTCCCCCCTCAGGCAGGCATGGCGCAGGGCCTTGCCGGGGTGTCCCCCACTGCTTCTCGGCCTGGAGCTCCGACGCAGGGATGGGTGTCGTGCACCACACAGGGCAGCCCCCGGGGGCGGCAGGACACGGGGGAGGGGGCCTGGGTCCCCGAGACCACAGGCCGCCCCGTCGCTCTCATCGAAGCCGATGCTGGCCAGGGCCGTCAGCACAGCAGCTGAGCCCGTCCTGGCGACCGCCTGCCCATCTCGGGCAGCCGCGGGAGGACGTGAGTGCGGGCAGGCAGCCCCAGGGAGAGGCAGGGCCGTCTCGGGAGAACAGTGCAGAGCGGGCAGAAGCAGGCAGAGCAGACTGGAGGGCGGGCGGATCTCTCTGGGGAAGCGCTGGCAGCCGCAGCTACCTGGCAGACGCGACTGCAGGAGACCGCCGCGTTCACGGAGCCGCGGGGGGGTGGGCGGCGTGGTGCGCGGGAGTGGGCTGCGGCGGCGACGAGGCTGCCGTGGCGGCAGCCACACAGCCACGCAGCCCTAGTGCCCTACTTGGCCCGGCAGGCACCTGGGACGGCTGAGCCCAGAGACGCTCCGGAGCGGTGGCGGCCCGCAGCGGAGAGAGCGAGCGAGGGGCAGCTGGGCGGGCGCTGTCAGGAGCCATCTGGGCCGTCTGCACCGACTACTTCGGTTGAAAACACTTTTGAAATAAAAAAAAGTAAAGTGCCAAAGGGGAATCTGGGGCTGCCGAGAGTTCAGAAGGGAGGGATCCCTGGCACCCTTCCCAGGCCGAGGCCCGGAAGCCTCCCGCTCGCAGGAGCCGGCCACCGCCGCCCGGACCTGGGGAGCGAGTGTCCTTCCGGCGTCGGGCTGGCCGTGGCAGCGGCCGGCGGAGGGCCGGGCGTGGAGAGCCCCAGAGGGAGGACGCTGGAGCAGAGCCGACAGCACAAGCACAAGACCTTTCAGAAAACGAATCAGACGCGCAGACCCAGCCACGAACCCCACCTGCTCACCCAGTTACCGAAGAGCAGTGTTTTGTGGTGTAGTGTAACTTCAGGACACAAACACCTTTGCACGCACAACACACCCCCAAACAATGCCAAGTCGTCTTTCTATTTCAGGCGAGGTTTTTACAGCGCTGTTCATTTATACGCTGCCACCTTACTGAATTCTCTCATCGCCTGAGTTACTTTATCACAGGACCTCGGCTCGCCGAGGATGTTACTATGCCGTCTGCAAAGACACAGCTTCCCTCCTCCTCTGCCAATTCCTGTGCCTCCAAACGTTCCCTCTTATTTAACCGCCTTGGCTGAAATCTCCCAGACAGTGTCACGTGGTGGGGAGGGAGAGGGGGGCCCTGCCTCATTTCCGAGTGCAGGGGCAGGCGTCTCCAGGCCCCCCCCCCCCCGCCCCCGCCGCAATGCGTTTTATCACGGTCAAGAAGCCCGGCCGGTTCCTGTGCTTCCCGAGTGTTCTCATCAAGGTTGGGTGTCCCGGCGCATTTATAAGGTCTGGATGGCCACACATGCCTCAGCATCCCCCCCACATGTCCCGGGGACACCCTGCAGGTATATGGCCAGCAGTGGGGGGGGGGCAGTTCTGGGCTGTGACCCCAGCACTTGCAAGAGCAGGAAGGACAACTCTGCCCAGCCCACTCAGAACTCGGGGAAGGCAGGAGCCCAACGCCGGGCCAGCCAGGAGGCACTGACCGGGTCTGCACGCGCACGCGTGTGTGTGTGTGTGTGTGTGTGTGTCGGGGTGGGGGGTGGGGGCAGGGTAGGGGCTGGGCCTCCAGGTCAAGGCCACCCAATGTGTGGAAACCGCAGGAAACGGGGCGCTCCTGGGAGCAGGGTGCCTAAACCACAGGCACAGCGCAGACTTACTGAATGAAAACCCATTCAGCTCAGACCCCGGGTCACCACGCTCTCCTGCGACCGTCTCCCGCCAGGTGGCTCAGAGACGACTGTCGTCTGGAGGGGCTCCCCTCCCACTCCCGGCGACAGCACTCCTGTACTCCTGCCGCCCGGAGATGCACACGGGGAGGGACCCGCGCCCTCAGTTCCAGCGTGGCGGTGGCTTCGTCCCCCACTCCTGCTGACTTCTACACGCTGGGAGAGATCATGGGACTTGCTAAAAGCGTTAGACTTTTTTTTAAAACCGTGGGCACAAAGTTGCTACTAAAATTGGCATCGTGCACATTCCTTAAATACACGGCGAAAAACGGGCCCGCGCCAGAGGAAGCAGCCTCAGCTCCCTGGGTGCACGGGAGCCGGCGCCGTCCGCACGGGGCCCAGCACGTGTGGGAAGGAGATGGCGCTCCGGCGCGGACCTCTGCCGGAGCCTTCCGTCCGTCTGACCTTCGCGCCAGGGGTCAGAACCAGGTGCCGCCCGCGGCGTCTCAGTGACTCCTCACGCAGCCTCTGAAAGGCTGGGCTGCACGCTCCGCCGACACCAGAGCCCGACCCGGGTCAGCCGGCAGCGCCACCGCCGGGGGGCCCTCGGGGACCCGGCGAGCGGGAAGGGACGGCGGCCGGGGCCACTCCTTACCTCCGTGTACGAAGCCGTGCAGCGTGCAGTCCGAGGGCCCCACCAGGTGGATCAGGCTGGACTGGCTGTAGCTGACCGTGCTCGGCTCTGCAAGTGCAAAGGAGACAGATGAGGCCCGCGGCTGACCGGCTTGACGGTGCCCCCCGCCCCCAGCGCTGCCACGGTCCCCGAGGGCTGACCGCCAGCCTAGACCTGGGATCTCTAAAGGTCACCATGGTCACAGAGCAGGCCCCAGGCGGTGCATCGGAAGGCCTTCGAGGATGAATTAGCCACTCTGTGAGTGAGTCCTGACGTGACCCCCCCGGGCACAGCAGCGCCCCCTGCAGGCCCTGCCCCCGCCTGTGGGCAGCCAAGCTCCCAGGGCTCCCGGCGGCCCTGTGCCTAGAGCACAGTCTTCCGCGTGCCTTCTGTCCCCGACTCCACGAACAGGCAGTGACAGCGCTGCAGGGATGCGCTGTGCGACCCCCCAAGTTTCCACTTCTGCTTCGACACACACGGCGAGCGGCAGGCGGAAGCTCGGAACCTGGAACGACGCCGCGGATCCGGCCTCCCAGGCCCACCCCGACCCCACCCGCCCTCGGCCCCTGGCCCAGCCCAGGGACTCACAGCCCCCGAGGGTGTGCGGTCTGTCCCCTCCCACGGCCAGCCCTCCGGTCTCTTCCCTTCCTGAGCAGCGGATCCTTCCCTCCTGGGGTGCCGGTGCCGCGGCTGGCCCCCCCCCCCCCGAAGCCAGCGCCCAGCCCAGCCTCCAGAAGGCGGCGCTGCGCCGCAGCCCGACTCTCCGACAGGTGCGGCGACCAGGCGGCTCCCGAGCAGACCCTGTGCCGCAGGCGCTCGTGCCTTCTTCCGCAGCCTCTGGGGAGCGATAGCACTCACGGGTTCCCCACCCGCCTGGGGAACCCTCCTCGGAAGGGTGGCCCGCTCCCACCCTGGCAACGCCAAGCTGCCGACTCGGCCAGCCCGCCGGGCCGCCCCTGGGCCCCATCTTGGGCCGAGAGAGGACCTCTCTGCATTTGGCCGGAGACAGAAAGTCTGCAGGAAGAGACGCCGCCGAGCAGCCCGGGGCCGGTGGCAGGAGAGCAGCGCCCGGGGCCCCCTAAGCTTCCACAGCTGCTTAGGAGCCTCCGCGGCCCCTCCGTGGGGGACTTCGCACCGTGGGGCAGCCTGCGCGGCACGGAGCAGGGGCCATAGGCGCTCATTCCCAGCGCGGCACTTTCTGGCTGTCCCCAGCTGCGCAGGGCAGACTGACTCAGGCTCAAGCTGGGAGCTGGCCTGCGAAGTGCCCCCTGCTCTGAGGGGCTGCGCGGGGTGAGGAGGGGGCCCAGCCGCGGCCTGGAGCCGGGGGCTGGTCTGGCAGCGCCAGAGCCACCAGGCGGGCCCCACTTCTATCCGAGCTCAGCTCCCCTCTCTGGCCACCAGCCTGCCCTCCACCTCCTTTCTCGGCCCACCGTGTGGCCCTCTGGAAGCGGGTCCCGATATCATGTGAGGTCCCTCGGGGCCGCCATGGGCTCTGCCCGGGGAGGGGGGAGGGGGGGCCCTTGTGCGGGGCGGGTACAGGAAACAGCAGCGTCATCATCATCGTGGTGATGGTGATGTGCCCTGACTGGCTGACCAGGAGGAGAGGCCCCGCCCCGATTTCCCGATGTTCCCAGGAGTGGAAAAGACACCTGAGACCCTTGTGCTACAGGAGGAGCAGTGACAGTCCCCGAGGGTGAGGGTGCACCCAGGGCCATGCCCACTGCCAGCCTTCAGGGCTCCGGGTGTCCAGACCCTGCCTGGGAGATCGGGTGGAGGGGAGCGGCCCGAGGGGCCATAGAGGATGCTCCAACCACCAGAGAGAGCCCCCGCCAGCACTGCCAGCCCCGAACTCCCGGATCCCAAAGACTGCCCCCCAGGCTCGTCCCTCCGCCCCACGGGGGGGCCACGGGCAACGAGGACCAGGGCTCCACCCCATCGCTGTCCTTGGCTTTGTGACCCACTCTCAAGATACAGGAAAGCAACTATTTCATAGCCTCGATGGGAACTAAAAGCCTCAAATTTGGCCCAAACTCAGGAACTGCTTTGACAGCCCAGAGATTTGCCCATGGACGATAGAAGAATTTTTAAACCTTAAGCAGCAGGGAATTGCATGTAAAGGCCTTTGTTATGTCAAATAACCGCTTATTCAAAGGACGAGCCCTTTGAAGTGGCGACGATGACCTAGACCTGGTCAGAGAGCTGTCACTCCACGGTCCTGCGGTGACGTCTTAGAACACCCGAGAAGCCACGGCTAACAAGCGAACGCTCCCGTGGGGTGCGCCAGCGAGAGCACCAACACTCTGATGCAGGGACGCCACAGCCACGCACCGGCATCCCTCCCGCCCCCCCTTGGTCGTGAGCCCCGACTCCAGGGGGGAGGGGCGCCCCATTGAGTCCCAGACGTGGGAGCCCCCTGCTTGTTCCCCTCTGGAAGTTACCCCCAACGCTCCCTACTACAGATGGGGGGGCCACAGCACTGAGGGCCCAAATCCCCACCACTGGGGGAGGCCCCCCTAGAAGCACCCACTTTGGACTTCATAGCAAACCCTGCCGAGTTACAGGCGAGGATTCTCAGGTTCAGCAGCGGGGGTGGCAGGCCCCGGCTGACCCCGGGGAGGCGGAGCCCAGTCGCAGCTCAGAGACCAGGGCTGGGCCAACTTGCCAGGACCCCGAAGTGGCCGCGGCAGGGGCCAGGCGTGGGGGTGAGCCCCGTTTCAAGCCCAGGGGCTCAGCAGGGCCGATTCTGGCGTGGACATGACAGCCCCCAAAATGGACGGCCCGCCAGGCGGCCCGCGGACCGAGGAGTGCGGGGCGGCTGCGTCTCCTCCAGTCCGAGGAGGAGAACCGGGAGGAGCGCTGGGCTGCAAGGAGCTGCCAGACTCCCCGAGACACCTGACGGATGAGGCTGGCCCCTCAGGGGTTGCCAGGCAACAGCCACGGATGGCTGACATCTGGGTCTGGTTTTAAAAGGGACCAAGAGCTGCAGATCCAGGGGGGGCTCTTGGGCAGGAGGTGGGCGCAAAGGGCCCGGGGGGAGCTGCCCCGCGGAACCCGGCTGGGAACAGGGACACTCCTCGCAGCGGCCGGGCTGTCGCACGAGGCGGGGGCCCAGGGCCGGCTCCCGGGGATCCCTCCGCACAGACGGACTGTGTCGCCGTGCGCAGGCGCAGTGACGCACGTCACTGGAGGACCCCCGCCCCCAGGGCTCGGCGCGTCGGTGGGGTCGGACGCCCAGAGGTCCTGCCCTGAGTGTCTGTGCACCAGCGGCTTCTCCGCGAAGGACTTGGGGTGGGGTGGGGTGGGGGGTGAAGAAAGGCCTTTCCGGAGGAAAACACCCCTGGCCCGACTGTCTGGACCGTGGGCGGGTGGACATTTTGGTAGAGCCGGACCTGCCCGGACCGGAAGGTGATGCCCGGGAAGGAAGTCTGTGCGCCCACACGGCTTCCTCGCCAGCGTGAAAAGGCTGCCGTCATCGGTCTGTTTCGGGTGAGGCAGAGAGCCCAACGAGCCTGACCCTGAGCAAATGTGGGGTGGGGGGGGAGTGAACGAGAGCCAGTCTCCGTGAACGGGCGTCCCTCTGCCCGGCAGCGGAGCCCCAGCCGCGGGCACGAGGGCCCGTGAGCACGAGGGCCTCCCGGTCAGGGAGAAGCAAGCTCCCCCAGGGACCCGCCGAGCCCTCCCGTCGTCCCAGGCGGCTGTGATCCCGGGAGGGATCTCTCTGCCCACCAACCCCCCCAGGAGGACGCTCACAAACCAGCCACCGACCCCCCCCCCAGGCACCCCAGCTTTTACCTGGGTTCGGGACGGGCTGGACGATGTCCCCGTTCCGCCACTTGGTCTCCATGCGCTCCAGCTTCTGGGCCTCGTAGCGCCTGCGGCCCTCCTCCTCCTGCTCCTGCCGGGCGTACTGTGGGGGTAGACGGGTGCTCAGGGCTCCTCCGGGACGGCCCTGCCTCTGAGAGCTCGTGGTGCGCACGAAGGAGGAAACCACAGAGGGTGCGCGTCTCAGGTCGCCCCACCCCTGCCCAAGAGCATATCCTTCCGGGAATTACGTCCACGCCCAAGTGGACACAACAGCTCTATCACGCTGTTTCTGACGTTTGAAAGTCACAGAATCAGCCCTGGCTGGCGTAGCTCAGTGGATTGAGCGCGGGCTGCAAACCAAAGTGTCGCAGGTTCGATTCCCAGCCAGGGTACATGCCTGGGTTGCAGGCCATGACCCCCAGCAAGTGCACATTGATGTTTCTCTCTCCCTCTCTTTCTACCTCCCTTCCCTCTCTAAAAAATAAATAAATAAAATCTTTTTTTAAAAAGTCACAGAATTTCCCCCTCTTGCTGTATCAACGTAACATAGTTTATGTGATGGGTCCATCCTGAAGGGCACGTAGCTTGCTCCCAGCTTCTTTCCTCTCAAAACGGCAACTTCCGGCAATCTCAGCCACGCATGACCCCACACCCGCCCCATCCCTTCCCGGGCCTCGTTCCTGGACCCAGGACGCAGAATCCAGGCCACACCCACGGTGCTCTCCGGAGACCACGCCCACAGCCGCGCTCTGCTGCCCCCACCCAGCCGGCGGGACAGGCTGCCCGCTTTCGCTGCCCGCTTTCGACGAATGTGCAGCCAAAACTAAACCAGCCCCCGCAAGCTCTCCGTGCAAAGATGTGTCTGTCACAGCAAAACCACACTGAGAGGGTGATGGGAGATTTAAAACAAAACTGGGAGAACCAAGGGCAGAGGCTGGACCAGAGCCGTCTTAACATCCGTTTCCTCCCGGGCCCAGAGCGGCCGGCAGGCAGTGGCGGCCTGGCTCTCGGCGCACGGCCATCCGTGACCAGAAACCTCCTTTAAGTTCGAGTCCCAGGGCTCGCTCTCCCACTGCCCATCCTCGGTCACCCCAGACGGGAGAAAGTGCTCTGCACACCCGGCAGGACGAGTTTCTCTAGGCTACCCCTCCAGCAGGAAGGAGGAGGGTCCTCTCCTTGCCCGGCAACCACTCAGCCAATGAGAGGCCACGACACTTTGGCCTCCCGGTCTCCTCCAATGGACTCTCTGCTTACAACAGCTCCGCCGCATGTCCCCCTCCCTCTATAAAAGAGCCTGCCTCTCTTCTGTTCTCCGCGTTTGCGGGTGGTTTCACCATTAGCCCTGCAGATTGTAATTCTCTGTTGCTCCAGAACAAACCCGTTTTGCTGGAGAAATGTCTGGCTGTCTGTTTAAGACCCACAGGCAGAAGAGCCCGGTACCTGCCTTTTCCCTGGTCGGGGGAGAGGGGGACGAGGGCCCCAAGGGAGGAGGGGTCCTGGGGTCTGGGGTCTGGGCCAGCTCCCACTCACACCCCTCAGCCTGAATCGAATCAAACCTGCACGGAGACCCCGGACAGGGACGGCCCTCCCCCAGCCCCCACCATATTTGCTGCCCGCCCCGGGACGCCGCCCCACCGTACCAGCGACCACACTTCTTCATCTGCCCCCCCCCCCAGTGAGGACGGAAGGGGCCTCCTTACCACGAACGGAGGCACCTCCAGGACCTTGTCCACGTTCTTCAGCGACAAGGGCACGTACCACAGGGTGGCCTTGTTGGTCAGCTTTTTGGTGCCTGTGGAGAAGGAAACGCCGTGAGTGAAGGCCGGGGGGCGGGGGGCAGGGGCACCAGGAACCCGGCAGGTGGGCGGAAACCCCGCTGCTCCCGGCCCCTGACCCCCTAAGGCCTTCTTTAGTGCGAGGTGCGAGCACAGGCCCCCAGCAAGGGGGTCCCCTGCAGTGCGGCCGCTCTCCAGAGGCTGCTGGAGAGACTTCAGGTCACCTGGTTCAAGCCCCCCAGGCCCATCGGCTTTCTAGCACTCGCTAAGGTGGAGGCCTCGCACCTGGAGGCCCCGACGCCAGGCACGCCCGTCTTCGCAGGTGTTCGGGCGGAAGGGACGTTCGGCCGTCAGCACACACCAGGAGCCTCCAAGGGGCCGTCGGCTGCCGAGACGTTCCATGGGGGGGAGGGGAGCAGCCCAGCCTGGGGAGCACCCCTTGTTCGGCTGTGCCGGGCTGAGCCAGGGGGTCTCCCCCAGCAGACCCAGCAGACCCTGACTTCAAGCTCAAGACCACCCCGCTGAGGAACGCAAGGTCACGACCCTGACAGCCCCGCCTGCCTGGCTACATGCTGGGAAGAGCTCCTGCAGAGGGGGCTGGAGAAACGACAGTGCGCACAGCGGTGGGGCAGAGCCTGGAGGGGGGCCCCCCCGAGCAGCCCAGAAAAGGGGGTGCTGCGGGGCCACAGCCCAGAGCACAGCTGTTCGGTCACCCCGACCAGGGTCATCTTTGCAACCCCTGACACTTCCTCAGCGCTCTCTACTTCAAGGTGGGAGGTGCCGCCAGGAGACTGGACCCGCTGTCTGGCTGACTCAGACCTCCCCGATCCGGAAGCTTCCAGTCGGGGTGCGGAGAGATGAGCTGTGGGCGGGTGACTTCCACGCCGGGCGGAATGACCGGAGAGAGAACATTCCCTGGGGTGCCCATCGTCCTCGGGGCAGAGCGGGCCTGCCCCATCTTCGGAGGAACAGGGGCCAGAAGAAATCTCTTGGCCCTGCCCCCACTTGTACGGGAGGAGCTGGGTGCCCGGAGAGGTCAACGGGGTCATCCAGGGTCACACAGCAGCTCGGTGCCACTCTGAGGACAGACCCAGGCCCCCGGGTCCCGGTCATTTCAGGGAAGTATTGGCAAGTATGTCTAAAAAATTCCCTTCTCAACGTGGGGGAGTCCCCAGCAGAGGAGCACAGTGACCCGGGGGAGACAGAGAGGCGGTGGGAAGGCGGGGGCAGCCCAGGCACCCCCGGAGGTCCCTCCAGGAGCCCACTTCCTGGCAGTTCCTTCTGACCTGCCTGCCCAAGGTGGGCGCTGCAGCTCCCTCCCCTAAACGTAGCGGCCCCAGCGACCAGGTGGCCGAGGTCGACAGAGCCACAGGGAGGCAGGGGCGGCTCTGGTCCGACAGCACCGTGGGGACAGCAGGCTCTGGTGCTCAGGACCCAGAGGCAAACACGGAAAATATCTTCATTGCACCGTGACTGGAAGTGAACCTGACAACTTGCTTTTGGGAATAAAGATTTCCAGTTTGACTCAGCTGGAGCCAGCCTGACAAGCTGGTTTCCATGGAAACCCCAAGTGGCCCTCCCCTAGACCTAAATGAGCGCCATGAAGCAAATGAGGCAAAACATTCTAATTATACTTTCTCCATCACTTAATACAACCATCAAAAGGCAACCGCGGCATGAGAAACGTCTATTTTAAAGCCCGAAGCGCTCCCAGCTATTTTCTGGAGCAGTTCACAGCTATCACACCCCAGTTTGCGTAATATTTTGACAGTTGCCAGAGATGAATGAGCCGTCACGAGGGCGAAGGTTTGCTGGCTGTCTGCCTGCGTGTGCGCTTGTTCAACCCCCTCCTGACAGGCGACGCGGCCCGGAGGGAAGGGGGCACGCAGGCCGGGGGACCCCTGCCTGGTGGGGCTGAGGAACCCGGAGATGGCGCGCAGCCGGCTTCCTGGGTCAGCCCTGCTGGGCCGAGTGCCCGGAACCCCCACCCGCCCGGCCCCAGCCGCCCGGGCTCACCCGCCCAGCCAGCCTGTGTTCGCCAAGGGCCACCAGGCCAGGCGCTGCTCCAGGCGCGGGGGGACCACCGTGGACCAGGCAGCCACAGCCCTGCCCTCAGAGGCTCCCGTCCCCGGGGACACGGGGGCAGGAAGAGATGCATCAGGACAGGGAGGTCTGCAGAAACCAGGGTCCCGGAGCAGGAAGCACAGAAAGACCTGAACGTGGGGAGGCAGCGAGGGAGACGCACAGCGGGCTGGCGAGAGACGGAGGCCCGGACAGGAGGGCGGGAAAGGGCACGTCGGGCCCCAGGGGGCGAGAGGACCGAGACACGGGGAGAAGCCCCAGCGCCCAGGACCCCGGCCCATCTCGGGCAGGCGGGCAGTGCCGCCCTATCCTCCTCTGCACAAAGGGGCAGCGACGCCCGCCCCTCCCAGCCGGCTCCCCCCTGCGGGTGTGGCACTCAGGCCCAGGGGCCCATCTGCAGGGGAGGGGCAGGGCCGCAAGCACGAGGCCAGGACGCTCACTGGCTCGGGGCACCGGGCTGCCCTCGCCGCAGGTCCGCCCTCACGCCAGCACGGCCCGGCAAGCGCCTCCGGCCCCTCCGCCCCCCCGCCGCCCCTCCAGCCCCTCCTGCACCTCCGGCCCCACCGGCCCCCAGCAGGCGGGCCCTTCGGAAAACGAGCGTGTCCTTCGTTCTTGGCAGCTCCTTCCGGAGCCTCCCGTCACTCTCGGGGCAGGAGCCCACGCCCTCCTGACAGCTGCCCGCCGCTCGTCCACTCGTCAGTTACCGAGTCCATGGCCACCGTGGGCCCAGCTGCCAGGGAGCAGGAGACACGGCTCTCACTCAGAAGTCCACGGCCCCAGTGGGGCTTCTCGGCCTCAGCACCGCGGCCAGGCCCCTGGGGCTGGACCACCCGCCCAGGCAGGACCGTGCTGCGCAGAAGAGCCACCCTGGGGGTCAAGGCAGGGCCCCAGGCATCCCTACGCTGCCGCCCGACACACGCACAGTGCCGGCGTGCGGAGGGGCCGCGGGAGCGGGCCAAGACGCCGCCGCCTGGAAACACAGGTGGCTCCTCGAAGGAGCAGGTGCAGGAGGCAGTGGTGAGCCCTGGTTCCCAGGCGCGGGACCTCCCCGACGGTCCCCCACCTGTTCTGTGCCTCCTGGCACATTCTCCTCACAGGGGCAGCCCCCGGCTGGCGATGCAACAACTGACCCACCCAGTCCCTCCTCCCGTGGTGAGGCGGCCACCTCCAGCCCAGGCGCCCAGTGAGGGCGCCCTCTTCCCCCCACTCCCTGAGGGCCTGACGGGATAGACAGCAGACGGGAGGTGAGGCCGCTCTGAGAGCCCAGGAAGCCCTCTCTGCCGGCCCCTGCCCCCTCTCCCCCCATTCCCACTCCGCTCAAGGGGTTCGGGGGTTCCGCACACCTGGAGGGGGGTTCCACTCACACGACAGAAAGGGGGTTGCTGGGAATCTGTAAAGCAGGCCCCACCCTCCTTTGGGGTGGGGCAGCGTCTCACTCCCGGCTGCCGGAGAACCACGGTGACGAAACAACGCCGCCAGAATGGCTGCCCACGAGTGAGCGCGAGGGTCCAGGGGGCAGGGAGCGCAGCCACGGCCCTCCTAGGGGCGGGACAGGGACCCCAGGCCGCCCCGTGGGAAGACAGTGTCCAGGCACCCCTTTCTGCGCCGCAGGCTGAGACCCGCATCAGAAGGTCCCGTTGGTGGCAGAGCCACCTGCCGTGTGCCGGCCTGGGGCCACAGGTGGGCACCCAGGCCCCGGCTCAGCCAAGGGTTCGCCGTGCTCGTGGCAGCCGGGCCTGCGGAGGGCGCCGGGCGCTCCAGGCGGACGGACAGCAGTGCTCCCGGCCCACGGGGGAGAAGCTGGGCGCCCCCTGCAGAGCTCCAGCGCAGCGCCCTGCAGGCAGCCATGGCCGAGGAGGGGTGTCGGCAGGGGTGCAGGGCCCGGGCAGCAACCTCAGAGCCAAGGCGGACTCAGCTGTGCCTGGGGTGGGCAGCCTGGGGTGGGCGGCCTGGGGGGGGCTGGCCTGGGGCAGGGGTGAGCAGCCAGGGGACCGAGGGGCCTGTCTTCCTCAGCAGCAGCCCCGTTACAAAGAGAAGCCGGTGCCCGTGCGAACTGGCACCGAAGCCACACTCCTCTGCAGCGCCCAGCGGGGGGATGGAAAGGGGTTTCCATGGTTACCACAGCGAGGAAGGGAATATTCGCATCCAACCCGAGTCAAAGGTTTGCCCAGTGAGCTTTATCCTAAACACGCTCTCCAGGCAGGGGAGCAGGGACGGGAGAGAGGTGCGGGGGTGGGGACAGCAGAGGGACTGATCCGGAGGGCACCCCGCCCCTCCCACCCCTCTGCCTCGGGCAGGGCGGGCAAGGCTCCCACACTGGGGACCGGAGCGGCAGGCCAGGGCTCTGGGCGCCCGACCTGGGGGTCGCTGCTTAAGCCTTCCCTACCGGTTCCCTCCTCCAGAGGTGCACCAGTTCACGGGGGGGGGCCGGGGTCCCGGGAGGTTGTTCTCCAACAGTCCGACCAGCCCCTCCTCGGTCAGTGTGCAGGCGGCTCCTGCTGTGTCAGCACTGCTGCTGTCACTGTCGCTCCTCCCCCCGCCCCCCAGCCGGGAGGCGCACGCGGTACCTGTGAGGATGTTCTCGGACATCACGTCGACCTGGACTTCCACCGAGTGCTTGGAGGTGTAGGTGATCTCCGAGCTGACGTGCGCCACCTCGCCGATGCACACGGGCGACAGGAAGTCGGTGCGCTCGACCCGGGCCAGGGCGGCCACGCAGGGCTCCTGCAAAGACGGGGTGCGGGTCAGCCGGGCCGCGCACCCCACCCCGGAGACGTTCCCCCAAACAGGGGCAGTTTCTTCCACAGGCCCCTGAGGTGGACGCCACGGGAGGTGCAGACACGCCCCGGGGGACCCTCCCGAGAGAGGGCGCCGGCCACGCTGAGTGGGGGGCCCCGCAGGTGGCCTTTTCCTCTCGCCCAGCTTTTCTACGAGAGACGTGCACTGTCCGAGTGAGGGAAAGTGGACACGCACACTCGTCCACACTCGTCCGTGGCAAGTCTGGGCACCACGGAAAGGCGGCCGGAGGAGGGAAACCACATGCCCTGCACAGACAGCGGCACAGCCAGCCGTGGTCCCCGCTTCGGGGTCCTCCTCCCCTCCTCCCCCGCCCCCCGCGGACAGGGGTCTCGCCGGGCTGTCTGTTCCTTCGCCTTCGCCCCCGTTGTGCAGTTTCGGTGCTCAGCTGGTCGTGTGAGGGCGAGACTGGCACTCGCACGGTCTGCTGCTTCCCCTCCACAGGAGGAAAAGCCACCTGCCCGTGCTGTGACCAGGTCTCAGCGACCGCTGCCCTTTCACGTGCATTTTCTTTGTGCTCTACACGGGCAGCCCCTCTCATGGCTCAACACTGGAAAGAAACCCGAGGGCCCCAGGTCTGCCCCTGGGCACTGGGCACTGGTCCCCGGCCATGCAGGACGGGACTGGGGGACCGAGGGGCCCAGCCAGGGAGGACGCGACTCTGGGTTGCAGCCGCAGGGCCGCTGCGATCCCCGGGGCAGGAGCCCACGCGCCCTGTGACAGAGTGTGAAGGACTCGCTCACTCCTCTTCACCAGTGGGCGACGCTCAGTTGAAAAAAAAAAACAAAACCCTGAATGGCCAGACGGAGCAGAATATCCTGTCGTTAGCGATCTGGGTCAGCCCCGTCTGCTTGTTACAACTACTCCTGTGACGGGCGTCGCTCTCAGGGCTGGGGACTGCTTCCGGGGCGGAGAGGGCACATCCTGTGACCTCCGTTCCCAGAGACGCTCCCCACGGGCCGGCACCTGCCGCCTGTGCTGGGTGAGCCACGTGGGGACACCTCGTGTTTGAGCGGAGGGACACGGGTCCGCCTGGGGGGCGGGAGGGGCGGGAGCAGGAGATGGCCCGGCAGGCGCTGCGCCTTTGCATGGGCTGGAGCCACGAGGCTCGTGGGTGACCGTCAGTTCGAGTCCCCCCATCAGCTGCCTGCGGCCACCAGGGCACCAACAGCGCACAGCCCCGCACCCGCACGAGAACTGCCGGCTGCCTGGCAAGCAGGACTTCCACCCCAAGCCCACAGGACTTCCTGGGGATTCTCAGGCATGCAGGGTCCCGGGCTCTGTGACGGGCCCTGCCCCTATAAACGGCCCAGAGCCAGGTCTCAGGACACAGGAGGCCGGGGTGACTGCGCCTCCCTCCCCCTGGCGCACAGGCAATCACCAGGCACCCACTCACAGCCCTTGGAGGGAGCGTGGGGGAGACATTTGAAGTGGATGTACGCGGCTACAGCACCACCCACTGGCAGAAAGCGGGAAAGACAGCGGAGCGGCCAGGAATGGGGGACCAGCCTCCAGGCTGCTGCCCCTCAGATTCTCCAAGCTCTGCCCCCAGGAGCCCAACCAGAACTGACCTGGGTCTTTGCTGGAGAGCGGCTGGTTCCCAGGGTGGGGGGATGCGCCCCCACACAGGGCAAAGGCATCGATATCTTTCATGGAAACGGCTGGTCTCTCGCGTCTACGAATCTGAGCCCCGGGGGGGGGGGGGGGGGGGGGGCCTGAGCCTTTCCACCTCGACAAAGGCACCAGCCTTCACCCACGGCGTGTACGGAGCCGGGCAGGCACTGCGCTCGGCGCCCGCCCCGGGGGAGGGGGTCAGTGCGGCTGCCCCGGGCCCCGGTCCTGGCTGGTGGGGACAGATGGTAAATCCCAGGGCAGAGCCCCATGGTGGTGGGTGCTCTGAGGGGGTGGCGTGGGGCAGGGGAGGCTGCAGACGAGGGGGCTGGCGGTCTTTCTGGAGAGGGTGCGTTGGGTCTGCACGTTTCTCGGTGGCACGGATTTGCAGGGAAGGACGCTCGTGTCCCTTCCGCAACCCAGACCACGCGTGGGATGGCCTGGGGCAGGGGACACAGGCGCCTCTCGACACCATCCCGAGGACACTCTATGTACGGCCCTGTTCCGAGCACACGGTCGGGCGCCGGTGTAACAGGGTGCAGCCCAGAGGGGAGCCTCAAATAGGGATCTGTAATAAGATCCAGAAGAGCCTGGAGATAATTGGCTCCACACCACAGGGCCACACCTGCCCAGAATCTGGCAGCTGTAGCCAATTGTGAGAGGAGCCCGAAATGGGGTTGCAGAGGAAGATTGGTGCCGGGATTTAAACCGAGACTCGGTAGCCATTGGGGGGGGGGAGAGGGGAGAGGGGAGAGGGGAGAGGGGAGAGGGGAGAATCATGCGCAGCCCTGCAAGAGAGAACCACACAGCTCTAACAGAGTGAAGACTCCCGCGGCCCTGAGGGAGAGAACCACGCGGTTCTGGCAGAGTGGGGACTCCCGTGGTCCGGGGAGAGAGGACCACGTGCCTTTGCCAGAGTGGGGACCCCTGCAGCTTTAGGAGATACGGTACTCTGGACTGGGCAAAGGGGGAAGGAAGGAAGGACTGTGTCTGTTTGTGGGTGCTTTAAGGGACTTTAGGATTTTTGGTGAAGACATTAAGTCCCTACTTTAAGTTTGTATGGCATTAAATAAACATTTCCTTTCCTTTTCACAAATCTCTGGCATTGAGAGACGTCTTTCCTCTGGTGGCGGACATAACGGACCTGGGGGCTTCTTTCAGTAATAGTATATCGTCCCAGGCCCCCCTTGTTTGTTCTGTAACACCGGGACGCCGGGGCCAGCCCTGCGCCTGCGCCTGCCCCTCCCAGTGGGAAGGCCATTTGGAGACACTGGGTCTGCTCCTCTCCCGGCTTGAAGCGCCGCCAGCGAGGGCTGCCGCCTGGTGGGCAGCCACTCAGGGGTCTCGCCACACGCTCACATTGTTATCGCACAGCCCCAAGACAACGTGCTGCTGCTCTCTTGCGGGCAAGGGTGGCCTGAGAGGCGGCTGGGCGCCTGGGGACCCCACGTCCGGCCGAGGTGCGGACCGGGACCCGGGGCGGCCCTGGCTGGACTGTGGGCTGCTGTTGCCCAGGACCCAACAGGGCGCAGGGCGCAGGGCGCAGGGCCCGCCCCCCCCCCCCCCGTGCATCCCACGAAGACCGGTATCATCAAAAACTCACAATGTGCACTGGTGGGTACAGGCCCCCCTCGGAGCCACCCTCGCACTGGGTTTGGTGTCAGACCACCGCCCCGCAGTGCGTGCTAATCCTTTGGCTGGCCTTGCCTTCAGTGTGTGAGGTGCAGCAAAACAACTGCCTGTAAGTGCACTGCTCCACGTGTCCAAGCGTCTCTGGCCCCAAGGCCCCGTCTGTGCCCTGTAACTCTGCTTCCTGGGGCGGGGGGACGGGGGGAGGAGCGGGGAGGGGGCAGCCCGGCCCCCACCCTGAGAAGTGGCCCTGAGTAGCCTGATTAGCTTCTACCCCAGAAGCCCCCTCTTTCCTGCTCCCAAAGGTGACCAGCACCACGCTGCCCGTGCGGCAGAGGTCCCTGTCATGCACGGGGCTTGAGCCAGGACAGCAGCTTTAGAAGCAAGGCCACAAAGAACGGTGCTGGGCCCCGGGCCCAAATCCTGTCTTCTGCCGGCTGGCCAGCTCCTGGCCACGGGCAAAGGCTGCCCTGCTCCGCGTCTCAGTCTCTGTGTGAAACACAGGTAACGGGCGAGCGTGGAGGGGCGAGGGGGGTCTCCCCTCCTCACAGAAGTACGGGACCGGGGCGGCGAGCGGCCGAACAGCTCCAGAAGCGGCTGGCTCTCACCGCCGTGATTCCCTGACAGCACCAGCCCCACGCCCACCCCAGGCCGCCCTCGCCAGCGCCAGCCCAGAGGAGGCAGCTCTGCACGGCCTTGGGAAAGCCAGCCCCGGGAAAGGGAGGACAACACTCGGGGTGGTCGCTGGCTTCTTTAAAGAAGCTCTGCCCCCGGCTGGTGTGGCTCAGTGGATTGAGCGCTGGCCTGAGAACCAAAGGGTTCTCAGGCCAGTTTGATTCCCAGTCAGGGCACATGCCTGGGTTGCAGGCCAGGTCCCCAGTAGGGGGCACATGAGAGGCAACCACACATGGATGTTTCTTTTCCTCTCTCTTCCTTTCTCTCTCTAAAAATAAAATCTTAAAAAAAAAAAAAAAGAAAGCTCTGCACCGGGTGGCCATTGCAAACCTCACCAGCAACAATCAGCAGATGGCTACGGGGGCCGCTACATGCCAGGCCCAGGTCCAGATGCTGGGCACCCAGGGGGCAGCTGATGGGCGGGGTCGCTGCCCTCACGGGCTGGCACTCTAGTCGGGGGAGAGGCCCAAAGATGAAAGAGCCAGAGGCACAGCGTGGGGGGAGCCGGCGTGGTGGGGAACCACAGCGGGGGAGGGGAGGCAGCCAGGCGCCAGGGAGGCCCCTGTGCGGGTCGTGTTTGTGCAGACACTGGAAGGAGGTGAGGGGAGCCGTGCGGGTGTCTGCCCGGGCTCGGAAGGGCAGCCCAGGCAGAGGGAAGACGGTGCGGCCTCTGGGGACGGCCGGGCAAAGCCGGGGCGGGGACTCCCGTGGATCCCAGTTTTACTCTCTGTGGGGTGGGAGCCACTCGCGGAGTGACGGGCTCTCTCCGACTGCGCTGGAGAACAGGCAGGTGGGCGGGACGAGCAGGACAATGGGAGGAGGCTGGGCGGTTGCTCAGGAGAGTTGTAGCATGGCTGGTGTGTCATGTGCAGATCTGGAAACGTCCAGCAGGTGGAGCCAGCAGGGTTGGAGGCCAGTGTCCACCACGGGGAGAGGGAGAGGGGAGAGGAAGAGGCTGCAACTGCAGGCCGCCCAGGTGATTCACTGGGAGGGGGCTGCGGGCAGAGCCTCCTGGGGGTGGGCCCGGAGGGTGTCTGGGGCCCATCAAGGTCAAGGGGCTGATTAAGCATCCAGGTGCAGCTGGGCCTGGAGACAGAGCCTCACAGGTGAACAGTGTTAAAGCCCCAGGGGAGTGTGTATGGGGGTGTCCCCGGCCCCACCCAGAGCCCCAGCGAAGCCCCTCGGAGGCCCGCGCCCAGCCACCTGGTGCTCCCTAGGGTGCACGCCTCTGCTGAGCACGGGACTTTAGATCCCCGTCCTGGGGCCCGCAGCCCAGAGGCGTGGCCAAGCCGGCCGTCAAAACTGTCCCCCTTACCCCACCAGGCTCACTCCGGGGAAGAAGGAGGAGGAGCCAGAGCTCAGAGCGCCGGGTTGAGGCCTAGTTCCCCCCTGCCCAGACCGCCCACCTGCCCCGCCCACCTGCCCCGCCCACCTGCTGGCATTGAGGCTTCCGGAAAGCCTTCAACCTCTTCAACCCCTCTGTGCCTGCTTCCTCGGCTGTGCAAGGGGTGCAGTGAGAATGACCTGTGCCTCTCCGGAGTGGTGTGGGGACCACCTGACGGTCCTCGCAGCACCTCCCACCCCACCGGCCGCCTCCTCCCTCCCTCTCGACCTGGGGCGTGTCCCCCCAGCCCCAGTTCTGGCCCTCCAGCCCCTCAGTCTCAGGCCCACCCTCCCGACGGCCACCAGAGGGCGCGCTCTGCGCAGGGCCCGGCTGCCCCAGAATCCCGAGGACACCAGGATGAAAGGGAACTCCTAGCCAGACTGGGGAGCCGGACTTCGCGGAGTAGGCGCCACCCCCATCCCTGCCAGAGGTGCGTTTCCCCAGGCCACGCCCACCCACACACACACTCCTCCTACAAGCACATGAGTGCGTGTGCGTGCGGCACACCTGTGTGTGGACAAGGCCAGCGCTGGACCTTCCTGTCCCCGGCACGGCCGGTGGCTGCCCGGCCCTCAGGCACCCAGAGCCACGTGCTCCCTGTGGGTCCCAGGCTGGCAGCTGTGGCACATGACACACACCCCCAGCCCAAGGGTGGAAATGTCCGGTCCCACAGGGCTGGGGCGTGGCAGGCCATGGGCACGTCCGGAGCCGCCCCGAAGTCCTAAAATCAGAACCCTGTCCTCGTCCCTGGGAGGGGGGCACAGTGCGCTGCACAGGCCACCCAAGGGTCGGTCATGGCAGGGAGGGCAGTGGACCCAGGGCGATCTGATGTTCGCGACAAACTGCCACCTGCACAGGCACGACCGTGAAGTCCGGGCTCCGGGAACATTCTAGAAATCAAGACTCTTCAGGAGGGAGGGGGAGGTGCTTCAAGGTGGCTGCTGGCAGGCTCTGAGCTCAGTCTCTGTGGGTGCCCACCCCTCCCTCCCTGCTGAGCCCCAAACCAAACAGCACTGCAAGGGGTCCTGCCCCTGGCTGATGGGGCTGAAGCTTCCGGAAGCCCCCAAGGCCCGGGAGTGGAGGGAAAGGGCAGCTCCCCCCACACGAACTCCTTTCCCAGCCCGAAGGCAGCGCGGCTGCTACCCCGCGGGAGCAACCCCGGGCCCAGCACCGCCGTCGGGGGCCCCAGGGGAGCAGCTGTTCTGGGAACTGGAGCCGCCCCCCAGCACGGGGACCTGTGGGAGGGGGGCGCTGCTCACCGGCGTCCCCGACGTGCTGAGCTCCTCATGAGCACCCAAGGGTGACGATTCCCTGGAACTGAGGGCCAGGAGCTCTCAAAGTCCAGGGGAACTGAACCGCCACCTCACTTCCCCCGAGACTAAAAACCGTGGCACTGCCGAGGGCAGCCAGTGTGGGGGAGGCTCCCCGAAACCTCTGGACCCCCAACCAGCCTGCTCCCGGGAACCCGGGACGGGAACCCTCCACGCCGCACCCAGGCCCGGTGCGGCCTGACGCCTACCCCGTTCTGGCTGTTGCAGTGCCGCGTGCTGATGATGGCCCCCGCCTCCTCGATCATCTTCAGGATGGTCCCTCCGTGCACGTTGCCGGCCACGTTGGCGTCATCCGGCCGCATGATTCTGGGCGGGGGAGAGACAAGAAGCAGGATGACGCCTCTGGGAAGGATGTCACTCGTGAGCAGGAACGGCCTGGGGAGAGGACAAGGTCCCCCAGAGGGACTAGCGGTCCCCGGAGAAGAACTGTCCGGGTGTTTGCTCCGGGTGGGGCGGCAACCTGACGGGGGGCCGCAGCGTCCTGCTGCCACGGGAGAGAGGGCCTCCTCTCCTTCCCCAGGAACCCAGGCGGGGGGAGGGGGGGAGGGCAGGGGCCTCTGGCGAAGGCAGCGAGATGTCGGCACGGCTGCAGGGCCCGCCCACCTGCCCCCCCACGACTCCAGCGGCCAGCGGAGGCCGGGGGCACGAGGACACGGGCCGTGGCCCCTTGCGAGGGGGGCAAACCCCAGGCCCGACACCGCCGTCGGGGGCCCCAGGGGAGCAGCTGTTCTGGGAACTGGAGCCGCCCCCCAGCACGGGGACCTGTGGGAGGGGGGCGCTGCTCACCAGCGTCCCCACAGCATGCTGAGCTCCTCGTGAGCACCCAAGGGTGACGATTCCCTGGAACTGAGGGCCAGGAGCTCTCAAGGTCCAGGGGAACTGAACCGCCACCTCACTTCCCCCGAGACTAAAAACTGTGCCACTGCCAAGGGCAGCCAGTGCGGGGAGGCTCCCTGAAACCTCTGGAACCCCAAACAGCCATTGTGGGGCTCCCACCGTGCAGGGGCAGGCAACGGAGCAGGTGCTCAGCAGCCGCCTGCAGGCTGCCAGCCTGCTCTGGCCCCGGGCCATGCCCTCTGCCGCCCCCAGGGCGGGCCCCCCCCACCCTCCGCTCCGCAGCGGGGAGGCAGTTGAGCTGGGGGCCTGGGGCGAACTGCCCAAACCCTCCTCCCTCCCCGTCCTCGTCTGTACAATGAGCGTGTGCTCACCAGCCCCGACCTCCGCCTTTCCTAAGAATGCGGCACCCTCCTGCACGAAGGGGCCGGGAGATGCGCTTCTCTCAGAAACGAGCAGCGACACCCAGGGGGGCTGTGGCCCGTGCCCAGAGGTCACCCCTTCAGCCCGGGAGAGACAGACCCGGCCGAGAAAATGGCAGCTCACTCAGGCGCCCAGCTGCCCGCCCCGCTGGCTGGCCCTGGGCAGCAGTGGCCGGGGCACCGGAGGGAAGCTTCGCCTGGCTCCTCCAACGTTCACTCACAAACATGTGTGAGCCCGTGGGTGGAAGACTGAACGTGAGGTCTGAACCCACGAAGCTCCGAGAAGAAAACGGGCGGGAAGCTCCGTGACCCCGGCCTCGGCGGCGATTTCTCTGGATCTGACACCAAACAATAGGCGACAGAAGCAAACACACACACACACACACACACACACACACACACACACACGGGGCGACTCCCGCTGAGAGACGTCTGCACAGCCGAGACAACCGTCAGCGGGGGGTGGGGGGGGCGTGCGTCTGCAGAGCGTGCACGTGGCGAGTGGTGAATATCCAAAACACGTCAAGGACTCGACCCCCCTCCAAACAATCCGATTTACAATGGGCAGAGACACCGACACGGTCTGGCCAGCTGCCCAACCCCCCAGACCGCCCACGACCCCGTCGGGCCGGTCTGCCGGGCATCTGACTCACTGGGCAGCCCTCGGCGGCACCGACACCCTCCCACCTCGCGCGCACGACGGGCACCCGGCCCCAGCCGCCCTGGCTGGCGGTCACACGGACCCTCTGGGACTGGGGAGCAGCCCGGCCTGACCCGCTGTCCCCGCTCTCGCCCCGGAACTCTGAGGCCCCGCCCGGGAGAACAGGAACTAACCCCTCCCTTGCCCCCCCCCACACCCCTCGCTTTGTCGTTCAAGTACCCCCTCCTGCCTCGCCGGGGGCTGCCCTCTGTCCAGACTCACCAGGCCTGTAAGCGCAGCATCAGATAAAGGCACTTGGGTCAGATCGTCCAGTTCTTCCTGCCTCTATTTCTCGCCCATTTCTAACAGAAACTAGACAGGCAAGTTTCCGAAAACCACACACACACACACACACACACACACACACAGCCACCGAGCACACAGCTGCACGTCGCCCACCGTCGAGGAGACACAGACCGAACCCACGGCAGGGCGGCGCCTCACGGCGGCCGGAGTGGGAGGCAGATGGGTGCGGCCACCCTGGAGAGACCGGGCCCCTCTGGGCAATTATCTGAAGGAAACGAAATCAGTCTCCAAGACGCACCCCTCCCTCCACCCAAGGAGGCCGCCCTGCCCGCCCCCACCCGACCTCCACCTGCACCCACACGAGACAGCTCCCAGCCTTGAGCAAGCGGGAGGCCGGAGGGCAAGCCCTGACTCGGCGTGGTGCGTGGGAGAGGCCACCGATCGATCGCCGTTTCTCTCTCACATCGAAGTTTCTCTCCCTCTCTTTCTCCCTCCTCCCCTCTCTCTAAAAGTTAGTGAGTAAAATCTTTCGTAAAGACAGCAACGCACCAGACTGTGGGGCAGGTGACTGCACCCGGGGGCCGAGTGGACAAAGGAGACCTGGGGACTGGGAGCTCCTGCTGGCCCTGAGAAGGGGACCAGCCCTGGGGTGGGGGTGGGGGACCTCCCTGAGGCACCTTGAAACCAGGGCAACCTGTTCGAATGACCTGGTGATCTTTCCAGTTTTTGCAGAGCACGCCCTCAGCAAGGGCGTCCCTGACCTCGCCTCTGCACGGCCACCGCCCCCTGGGCTGGCTGGCCCTCGGCCCCAGGACCACCTGCGGGGGGCAGGGGGGCTCCAGGGTCCCCTCCACCTTCTCTGATGGACACAGCACCCAGCGGTTCTGGAGCGGCAGGAGAGGAAAGGCAGGGGACCGCCTGGGGACCAGGAGGAGCCACCCCGCTCCCTGCTGTGAGTTCTGTGCGCCCAGTCTCCCGGCAGGTGCCCCGAGGGCTAGCCCTGGCCCCCTGCTCCCCAAGGTCCTCCTGTGGCCAAGCCAGTGGAGGCCCCACACTGAGCCTCTGGACTGAGTTGAACTGTGTCCCCCAGAGAAAGAGGTCCCGGCCCCAACCCCTGGTGCGGATGAACGTGACTTTATTTGGAAAGAGTGTCTTTGCCGGTGTGACCCCACTCAGGTGAGGCTGCCAGGGTGGGCTCTGCTCCCACCAGACTGGGGCCCTCGGAAGAAGAGGGAACGTGGACACACGCAGGGAGCGGGACCCAGGGCAACAGGCGGAGATGGGCGTGGCGTGCCCCCGATGCAGGGAGCACAGGGAGGCCAGCAGCCACCAGAAGCCAGACGGGGCTAGGAAGGAGCCTTGGAGGGAACACGGCCCTGACACACCTGGACGGGGGTCTCGTGGCCCCCAGACTGCGACAGAGCACGCTTCTGCTGCTTTAAGCTGCCCAGTTTGTGGCCATTTGTCACAGCGCCCCAAATTCTGGCAGGCTGCACCCCTTGCCGTCCCTGCCCCAAGGGGGCCTGCTCCTCCCCCAGAGGCGGCAGTGAGCAGCTTGGGCAGGCGAGCCCCCCAGGCTCCGCAGGGACGGCCCTGGTCGCCCACACAGCCCCCTCAGTGCAAGGCCAGCCCCTCTGCTCCTGACCCGGGTGGGGACGTCAGCGTGGCATTGAGCCACCGCCACCCAGTTCCACGGTTGCGAGGGGCCGGGCCTTGCTCCTCTGCCAGCGGGATCGGAAGCAGCCGCCCGAGGCAGCAGGTGGCAGCAGCAAGCACAGCCAGGTTTCGTGACAGGGCTTCCGCCTGCGCCCACAGCTGGGCCGGCGCCCTGGGCCTGCCGCCGAGGTCCAGGTGGGCTCTCCCGGACGGCGGGGGCATCTCGCGGGTCCTCTCCCTGCGGAGCTGGGCTCACATCGGAGAGGCAGCAACAGACCCTTCCTCTCTCCCAGGCAGCTGCAGGGGCGTCGCCCGGGGCCCAGCGCCTTGGCAGGGGCACCCAGGAGACGGGACCCGCACTTGGCTCTCAAGTTCAGGCGGGAGGAGGGGGAGGGGCTACCATTCCTGCCGGAAAGGAGCTGCAGGACCGAGAGGTTCCCAGCAGACAGCCTGGACCTCCGAGTCTGGAAGGCCAGGGCGAGGCGTGCAGGGACACCCACCTCTCCACGGGGGACGCGGGGGAAGGCGGCACCACTCTCCCCTCCAGCGAGCTGCCCGGGAAGGTTCCAGCCAAGTCCCCTCAACCCCCAGGCCTCACCACACGTGGGGGTGCGAGACGTGGCTGGGCAGGAGAAAGTCCCTGGGGTCCCCCAGGGCAGGACGGGGGCAGGACCAAAGGGACACCCCCCCCCCCCACCACAGCCTGCAGAGCAGCACCCGCCGATCCCGGGAACTCGGGGCTCTGGGCTGCACCCGCAGGAAACCCACCGGCTGACACAGGGAAGCGCCAGGACGGCGAGACCAGAAACAGCGGCTGCTGCCCGGGGGTCGGGCCGGTGGGGGAGCGCCCAGCCTCGCTGCCCACTCTTCTGGGCGTCTGCGATTGGGCCCTGCCAGGTCACCTGAGGCCGGACTTCCTGTCCCGGCTTCGGCTAACCCCCTAACATCCAGGGTCCACCAGGGGTGGGCCAGGCACGGGCGTCCCCGACTGCAGGAAGCCAGCCACCTGACTGGACACAGGGCTGCCTCCCCTCCACCCCCGGGCCCTTCAAAATGCTCCCACCCAGACCACCTGCCACAATGGCCCCCACGCGAGGGACCCGTGACGGGAGGTCCGGCTGGGCTGCAAAGCCACGGTGGTCGAAACAGCCCAGGTCCAGAGCAGCGAGGGGGGCAGCCTCCCCCCTCAACCAAACACCATGGCCACATCCTGCCGTGCCTGGTCCAGTGGGGGGGACCTGGGCCTCCCGATCCAACCAGGAAGAGACTGTCTGCCTACCTGAAGAGTCGACCAGAAGTCAGTTGTCACGGAAACCCCAATTTCTAAACGATTACGAGGAGCAGGGACATCGATAAGCCCTCTGCTGCCTGTGCCCCAACAGCAAGAAGTCCCAGGAGCAGCAGCTGCCCCGGGTCCCGCCCCGGCAATCTCTCTGGCAGGGTCTCAG